GAACATGTATTTCCTACTTGATTCTTTGCTCAAAAAAATTTTAGGATGTTTTATTTGTATTTGTTCTAAGCACTAGACTATTTATGCAAAGTTTCAATCCATTTGTATAAACCCTCGAAGAAAAAAGTGACAAAATTGATTTTGACTAGGGTTGCCCCTAGTCCAAAATTGAAAATGTATTTCCTACTTGGTTCTTTGCTCAAAAAAATTTTAGGATGTTTTATTTGTATTTGTTCTAAGCACTAGACTATTTATGCAAAGTTTCAATCCATTTGTATAAACCCTCGAAGAAAAAAGTGACAAAATTGATTTTGACTAGGGTCGCCCCTAGTCCAAAATTGAAAATGTATTTCCTACTTGGTTCTTTGCTCAAAAAAATTTTAGGATGTTTTATTTGTATTTGTTCTAAGCACTAGACTATTTATGCAAAGTTTCAATCCATTTGTATAAACCCTCGAAGAAAAAAGTGACAAAATTGATTTTGACTAGGGTCGCCCCTAGTCCAAAATTGAAAATGTATTTCCTACTTGGTTCTTTGCTCAAAAAAATTTTAGGATGTTTTATTTGTATTTGTTCTAAGCACTAGACTATTTATGCAAAGTTTCAATCCATTTGTATAAACCCTCGAAGAAAAAAGTGACAAAATTGATTTTGACTAGGGTCGCCCCTAGTCCAAAATTGAACATGTATTTCCTACTTGATTCTTTGCTCAAAAAAATTTTAGGATGTTTTATTTGTATTTGTTCTAAGCACTAGACTATTTATGCAAAGTTTCAATCCATTTGTATAAACCCTCGAAGAAAAAAGTGACAAAATTGATTTTGACTAGGGTCGCCCCTAGTCCAAAATTGAACATGTATTTCCTACTTGATTATTTGCTCAAAAAAATTTTAGGATGTTTTATTTGTATTTGTTCTAAGCACTAGACTATTTATGCAAAGTTTCAATCCATTTGTATAAACCCTCGAAGAAAAAAGTGACAAAATTGATTTTGACTAGGGTCGCCCCTAGTCCAAAATTGAAAATGTATTTCCTACTTGGTTCTTTGCTCAAAAAAATTTTAGGATGTTTTATTTGTATTTGTTCTAAGCACTAGACTATTTATGCAAAGTTTCAATCCATTTGTATAAACCCTCGAAGAAAAAAGTGACAAAATTGATTTTGACTAGGGTCGCCCCTAGTCCAAAATTGAAAATGTATTTCCTACTTGGTTCTTTGCTCAAAAAAATTTTAGGATGTTTTATTTGTATTTGTTCTAAGCACTAGACTATTTATGCAAAGTTTCAATCCATTTGTATAAACCCTCGAAGAAAAAAGTGACAAAATTGATTTTGACTAGGGTCGCCCCTAGTCCAAAATTGAACATGTATTTCCTACTTGATTCTTTGCTCAAAAAAATTTTAGGATGTTTTATTTGTATTTGTTCTAAGCACTAGACTATTTATGCAAAGTTTCAATCCATTTGTATAAACCCTCGAAGAAAAAAGTGACAAAATTGATTTTGACTAGGGTCGCCCCTAGTCCAAAATTGAACATGTATTTCCTACTTGATTCTTTGCTCAAAAAAATTTTAGGATGTTTTATTTGTATTTGTTCTAAGCACTAGACTATTTATGCAAAGTTTCAATCCATTTGTATAAACCCTCGAAGAAAAAAGTGACAAAATTGATTTTGACTAGGGTCGCCCCTAGTCCAAAATTGAACATGTATTTCCTACTTGATTCTTTGCTCAAAAAAATTTTAGGATGTTTTATTTGTATTTGTTCTAAGCACTAGACTATTTATGCAAAGTTTCAATCCATTTGTATAAACCCTCGAAGAAAAAAGTGACAAAATTGATTTTGACTAGGGTCGCCCCTAGTCCAAAATTGAAAATGTATTTCCTACTTGGTTCTTTGCTCAAAAAAATTTTAGGATGTTTTATTTGTATTTGTTCTAAGCACTAGACTATTTATGCAAAGTTTCAATCCATTTGTATAAACCCTCGAAGAAAAAAGTGACAAAATTGATTTTGACTAGGGTCGCCCCTAGTCCAAAATTGAAAATGTATTTCCTACTTGGTTCTTTGCTCAAAAAAATTTTAGGATGTTTTATTTGTATTTGTTCTAAGCACTAGACTATTTATGCAAAGTTTCAATCCATTTGTATAAACCCTCGAAGAAAAAAGTGACAAAATTGATTTTGACTAGGGTCGCCCCTAGTCCAAAATTGAAAATGTATTTCCTACTTGGTTCTTTGCTCAAAAAAATTTTAGGATGTTTTATTTGTATTTGTTTTAAGAATTTGAATATTTATGCAAAGTTCCAATCCATTTGGATAAACCCTCGAAGAAAAAAGTGACAAAATTGATTTTGACTAGGGTCGCCCCTAGTCCAAAATTGAACATGTATTTCCTACTTGATTCTTTGCTCAAAAAAATTTTAGGATGTTTTATTTGTATTTGTTCTAAGCACTAGACTATTTATGCAAAGTTTCAATCCATTTGTATAAACCCTCGAAGAAAAAAGTGACAAAATTGATTTTGACTAGGGTCGCCCCTAGTCCAAAATTGAAAATGTATTTCCTACTTGGTTCTTTGCTCAAAAAAATTTTAGGATGTTTTATTTGTATTTGTTTTAAGCATTTGAATATTTATGCAAAGTTCCAATCCATTTGGATAAACCCTCGAAGAAAAAAGTGACAAAATTGATTTTGACTAGGGTCGCCCCTAGTCCAAAATTGAAAATGTATTTCCTTCTTGGTTCTTTGCTCAAAAAATTTTAGGATGTTTTATTTGTATTTGTTTTAAGCATTTGAATATTTTTGCAAAGTTTCAATCCGTTTGGATAAACCCTCGAAGAAAAAAGTGACCAAATTGATTTTGACTAGGGTCGCCCCTAGTCCAAAATTGAAAATGTATTTCCTTCTTGGTTCTTTGCTCAAAAAATTTTAGGATGTTTTATTTGTATTTGTTTTTAGCACTAGAATATTTATGCAAAGATTCAATCCATTTGGATAAACTCTCGAAGAAAAAAGTGACAAAATTGATTTTGACTAGGGTCACCCCTAGTCCAAAATTGAAAATGTATTTCCTTCTTGGTTCTTTGCTCAAAAAATTTTAGGATGTTTTATTTGTATTTGTTTTCAGCACTAGAATATTTATGCAAAGATTCAATCCATTTGGATAAACCCTCGAAGAAAAAAGTGACAAAATTGATTTTGACTAGGGTCACCCCTAGTCCAAAATTGAAAATTGAGAAATCGGTAACTTTAGTTGTGCTTGTGAAGACCTAGACAAACGAAAGTATGACGAACACGTGGTTTTTGAGAAAAATCAAGTTTTTCACAAAATTTTCCAAAGTTATTTGCAATTGTTTATATCTTAAAATAAAGAAACTATTTAAAGCTATCAACAAAAAAAGTTTGAAGGAGATTCATCCATCCAGTATCTGGTGAGAGCATTTTCAATGTAACGTGAAAATGGTCGTCTGACCAACTTTGAAGTGCCATATCTCGGACATGCTGTCGACTTGGGCAAGGTTTTAAGGACTTAAATGTAGGGCAGAATAAGGACTATCATATAAGCTGTAGAAATAATTTTTGGAAAATTTTTCCATTTCTTGCCCATAGTGCACTATATGCTTACCAAAAAGTATTTGTATTACCTTTTATGTTAAGCTGCTTTAATTACCTTTCCAACGATATATAATATGTCATATATGAGTACAATATCCCTGAATAATTTTGAAAAAACTGAAAAATTACTCAAAATTCGAGGTGTGTGAAGAACTATACTTGGCATTTTTGCTCAAAAGTGTATAAAATCTCAAGTATATATTATAAATTTGGTACTGTTGGAAAGATAAAAGTACTGGCTATAAGATAAAATTTAATTTTGAGTTGAGAATTTACCCAGGACACTGCAAGAGAATGGGAAACTTGTCATAGTTTGACCAGCCCTATCAGATACAGTAAAGATAAAAATTTATTTTTTCTCGTGTTTTCTACAGAAACATACTTAAACTATCTGAAAAATACCAAATACCCTTTTGTTAAGCACATAGTGTATTTAAAGTCAGTCGAAAAAAGTTGAAAAAGATTTTTGAGGTGCATGCAGATGACATGTTTCAAATGGTTCAAGGTTGAAAATTTGGCAAACCTTTTTTCCAGGTTTTCACAGTTTCAGAAAAATACAAGTGAGAGCTATGTAAAACAGTTAAAACTTGTCCCTCCACTCACTTGGAATATGCAGTTATAGTCAATTGAAGTCAAAACATAGTAAAAAACCGTAATTTTTTTGAAAAAATCTCAATTTTTGATGCTTAAATATAAGTTTAAACCTTGAAAATGATATTTTTCTTGTAAATCTGGTAAAGGACTATGTTTTAATGAAAAAATAAAAACATTTAAATGCATCAGAAATCCACATACTCAAAAAAAGTGTGCCGTACTACTAACATTTGAAGTTTCGTCAATTTTTAAGCACTTTCCATGAAGGAAACTTATGTAACTTAAAATAGATTCTGATTCCTTGAATAAACACCTTTCAAATGAGCCAATAAAATAATTTTTGGAAAAAAATTTCGATTTTATCCCATAGTGACTAGGTTGCATCGTAGATTCGCCATATATTTGCAATAGTGTCATATGAAAATATTTTTTTGGTTTTATTTTGTTAAGGAAAGCTTGCACAAATTACTGGCCAAGTTTGAACAATTTTCGTCAAGTCTTGCTAGAGATTTAGTTGAAAAGGTTAAAAATGTAAAAATCAGGCCTAGCTCCGTTTTCAGATGCTCATATCTCAGAACTGGAAACTTCACAAAATTTAAAAAGTTTGTTTTTCTACTTTCACAAAATAGCACAAAATACCCATATATAACACATCACTCAACTCGTTAGGTCACCGTTCTACTTGAAGGACACGTCTCATTTCAATTTCCACATGTGTATTATTTCTGGCATAATTTATGAAAATCGTAACGGTTACTAAAAGTTCAAATTTGAAGCACATGGTTCATTGTTTATTTCCAATAAGCAACAAAAAAAAAATTCTGTGAATCTTAAAAACATTAATTAAATTATCATGGAAGTAGCTGACGAACTTGAGGATCAATTATCTGAAATTAACTTTGTTCCTTGCGTCAAATTTGTTAAGAGAGGAGTTGCAAGTGCTAGGAATATTGCAGATGTAAGATAAATCATAAGATTTCGTGAAGGCATGCAATAAATTTGGTTCTTAATTATTTTTTTCAGGGTGTTAAGCCTAATGTTAATCCGCAAGTGTTTCAAGAATTGATGGGTGGACCGTCAGGAACACAGCAAGAGATAGATGACGATGAAAGTGGATCTGATCTAGAAAATCAAGATAATTCAGATATAGAACAGCTACCTGCTGTAAAAGATCAAAATGACGAGTATAATTTTGATGATTATGACAACGAAAAAGCAGAACCAGCACTTAAAATGTCAGATATTGTTGAGGTGACCGAAAATGATGAAATAGCTGACGACGAAAATGATTCTGAGGCAGAAGACGATACAATTAAGCCAACGGATAATTTAGTGCTCGTTGGACGTGTTGAGGCTGACTGTTCCTCAATGGAAGTTTATGTATTTAATGAGGAAGAAAATTCTCTTTATGTCCACCATGATTTTTTATTGCCATTCCATATTTTGTGCGTTGAATGGTTCAGCTATGATGCTGGAAGTGAAACAGCTGGAAATTTATGTGCTATAGGCGGTATGGAACCTATTATTCATGTCTATGACTTAGATATTCATCATCCATTAGAGCCAGTTGTAACTTTAGGAAAGAAAGGAAGTAAAAAGAAAGGTACAAAAAGAGTTGGACATAAAGATGCAGTTTTAGATTTAGCTTGGAACTCAAATTATCAGCATATAATGGCTAGTGCTTCTGTCGACCAAACAGTCATTCTTTGGGATCTTGAACATACATCACCATCTACAATTCTTAAAGATTTTGCAGAAAAAGTACAGACAATAGAGTTTAATGCATCAGAAGCTGAATATTTGCTCACTGGATGTAGCGATAATACAGTAAAGCTATTTGACTGTAGACAAAGCAACGATGAGAATGCACAATATAAGAAATGGATAATAGAAGGTGAAGTAGAAAAGGTTAAATGGAATCCATCACAAAAGTATCATTTTGTGGCAGGAACTAATGCTGGAAAGATATATTACTTTGATTCAAGAGCAACCGAACCATTGTGGGTTATAGAAGCTCATGAAAAAGAAGTCACAGATTTTGGATTTAATCCAAAGGTTCCAAACTTCTTAGCCACATCCTCCACAGATAATCACTTGAAAGTATGGAATTTCAACGAAACTTCATGTGATGTTGTCCATAGTCAGCACTGTAAAGTCGGCAAAGTTCATTCCCTTGATCCATGTCCAGAAAATGGTTTCCTGCTTGCTGTTGGCGGTGATAAAAGGAAGAAGAATTTCAATGTTGCAAATCTACTTGACTATGATGATATTAAGCAGGCATTTACAAATGAGCCTGTAATAAGTCAAGGATCGAAAATGGAAGACGATGATGATGATTAAAACTTTTTATTATTATCGTTTTTATATATATTCAATTATTTCATACAAGTCCATAATAAACATTTCTTTTCCTTCTTTAAAGTTATAAGGAAAAGAGAAACCGCGATTAAAAAATAACTAATGTAAAGAAAAGCAAAGAATAAGAAGAGAATTTATAATGAACTATGTTTTATACTTAATGCTACATGTTTTAGTCAACATTCTTAGCTGAAAACTCGATAATTTCTTGAAGACATCGACTAAATTCTTCGAGAATCATTTTTTCAGCTTCTTTTTTGGGCGCACTCATTTTCTCACATTCTTCAGCTTGTGCAATCATACATTGAACAGTCGCCTCTATAACATCCTGAGTCATGAAATTGTACGGTTTCTTTACTAGCTCATTCAAGTCTGTTACTTTCTTAAGTGCTGCCAAGTTCTTCTCATAAATTTCCTCGCTAAATTGACCTCGCTTCCCGCATTGTTTCAAGTATTGCAGTTCCATTTCCATTTTCTCGTCTATGTCGTCAACGTTCTTGCAGCCTATAATAATCCCTTCCATAAACATCCACATCAATTTTAAACTGTTAAAATAAGCTTACCTAAACAACGACAATTTGCAGAACACGAAATTTTTGCCTCGTAGCACTCGCAATAATTTTTTAAGCAGCCTGAACGCTTACAATTGCAACCACGTTGATGAAGACGTTGCTGTTCCTCGGTAGCTTCTTTTGATCTATAGAAATTATTTTAAATTCAAATTAAATTGTGAAATTTTTTTAAAAGTTTGATGCTTTCGCAATGAAATCTTGTAAATTAATAAAGAAATTGGAAGTTTTGATTTCAATGGTTACTATGATAAAATTTTGCAACCGTCGTTTAAAATTTAAATTTTATGCAATTATTCAAGAATAGAAATAAGTTAAAAATTCAAAGGTAGAAAAACCGTTACTCACTTAAATGCAAATGGATTCCTTTCCATGCACAGCTTTACTGCTTTTTCACGTTCTTCACTGTCGTGTTCATTCAAACAATCTTTACAGTTACATCCTACACAAAATTCACCAGCAGCAAAGCAGTCACAATAGAATTTTAAACATTGCGATTTTGTACAGTTGCATGGTCTTTTAGGCTTTTTCATTCCTGGATAGCTCTTATTGAAGTCAAGTGGATCTATATCGATTTCAGACTTTTTCACTTCTTGTACAATTTTAAAGACTTGACCAGAACTATTCTTAACGGGTGATGATTGAATTGAAAGTTTTTCGAGCTGTTCCTTATAATTTGTTGGCAGCACGACTCGTTTCTTTTCTCCATCATTAATTATGGTAGCTCCTTCAATTTGGCTTATTTGTGATGAGGTCAATGTAATATATTTTGTTTTCTTTGCAGGAGGCTCAGCATTTACTTCTGATTTACGTACAACAGTTATTGCACGAGATTGCGAAGGTTCTGCCTTAATCTCTGGATTCCATGATTGATTTAATATGCGAGGTGCTTGTTGTTGTTGCTGTGGCTTATTATTTTGAACTTGAATAATTTTCTGTGTACCACCACTCGAACTGACTACACGAACAACTTTAACATTTCCAGATGATGTTGATGCTGTTGGTGAAACGATTTTAATGACATTCCCACTTGTTGAAGGTTCAATAGACTTTCTGCCTATTGTTATGCTTGATGCTGGACCAATTGTTTTTACAGTCATCGCTCCTTGTTGCTTTTCCATTTTAACACCTGAGCTAGGTGATGTGACTGAAACAACTTGACCTGAACTTGCTAAAAACATTCATAGAAAAATAGTCGTTAGTTTCTTGACAGAATCCAATTGGATAATGCTTGTCTACTTACTTTTAACTATATACTTTTTAGGCTCAGGATTTTCCTTCTGTACATTCATTACTTTCAATGGAATTGATCTACCATCCTGACTAATAACAACATATCGTCCATCCTCCTTTGTTACTGCAAATTAAAAATGCACTTTGCCTTATCAATATGCACAAAATGAATATAAATTATTTTTACTAACCAATTTTCTGTGTTGATGCCATACTTTATATCTTAAATTAACGTCCTATTTTAATTCACCTGATGATTAGAAATCAATGAGTTAAACTTTTAAGAATCACAATACGGAACTGATAAATTTTAATTTGAAATTTTGAATATATATATCTGATAAGTTTATGGATGTTTTGTTTACATTTTGATTCTCACTTTTACTTAATTAAACTATATTCTCATAAGAAACTTTTCATTTTACTATGTTATTCATCGCTGGATGTATCTTTTATTGCAACAATCAATTAATTATGTCTATATATCATGTATAAATTGTGTAGAACGCCTCAACGTCCTTGATTGGACAGAAAAATCGAAAAATTTCCTAGCGTTTTCATTTTTCTCATTATCTAAACCTCATTTAATGACAAACTGCATGTTTTTCTTCATTGGATCAGTTTAACTAGTGATAATTCACATGAAAACACGTTTTAAGCATAAGAACCATTGCAAACAAGCTTGGTAAATTAATAATCATAATTTTATAAAACATCCAGTAATTTAACAGACCTCACGAATTTTAAAATTTCAAATTTTCATATCAATTTCCACGATTTTTCACTCTATTTACCTATCTTAGATGTCAAGAACACTCAATAATCACTTTTCATATAGTTTAAATTAGTTATAGTGTGAAATTAAAGCGAAATAATCGAAAATAATCACAACTGTAAACGGCGTTATATTGAAAATTTCGGAACCTTTCAAATGTCCCGCGTGAAACCTCTCACTTCCACACCTGTCACTTTTGAAATTTTGTTTGACAGTTGTGACTTCCGTGCGATTGACGTTTTTTAACGAATATTTTCCTGTCACGTAAATATCAATACTGAAAAACAAACAAACAAAAAAATTAATTTAAGTAATGAAAATGATTAATTAAAAAGGGTCTGGTTCCTGTGGTGAAGCCAAGCAAGCGTCAACTATTAATAATTTATTAAACATGGAATATAATCATAACTTTGCTTATGACAATAAGTACACAAATTCCTTACATCAAATAATTTGGAAACAAAAATGGAAAATGTCATGCCTGAAAAATGAATTTACTGTTCTTCTTCTTCTTCGAAATCAGCTTCAATGTCTTCGTCAGCAGTTGCTTCTTGGTATTGTTGATATTCCGATATCAAGTCATTCATATTGCTCTCGGCTTCAGTAAATTCCATTTCGTCCATTCCTTCGCCAGTGTACCAATGTAAGAAAGCCTTACGACGAAACATGGCAGTAAATTGTTCTGAGACTCGCTTAAATAGCTCTTGAATTGCTGTCGAATTTCCAATAAATGTACCACTCATTTTAAGTCCACGAGGTGGAATGTCACAAACTGCTACCTTAACATTATTTGGTATCCATTCGACGAAATAACTGCTATTCTTATGCTGTATATTAATCATTTGTTCGTCGACTTCTTTCATCGACATTCTGCCACGGAATATTGTAGCAACGGTTAAATAACGTCCATGACGTGGATCGCAAGCTGCCATCATATTCTTTGCGTCAAACATTTGTTGAGTAAGTTCTGGAACCGTTAATGCACGATATGACTGAGATCCACGAGATGTTAAAGGTGCAAAGCCAGTAATGAAGAAATGAAGACGTGGGAATGGAACCATATTTACAGCTAATTTACGTAAATCTGCATTCAATTGTCCAGGAAAACGTAAGCAAGTGGTAACTCCAGACATTGTGCATGAGACAAGATGATTTAAATCGCCATATGTTGGCGTTGTGAGCTTTAATGTGCGGAAGCAAATATCATAAAGTGCTTCATTGTCAATACAGTATGTCTCATCTGTATTTTCAACCAATTGATGAACAGATAAAGTTGCATTGTATGGTTCAACGACTGTGTCGGAAACTTTTGGTGATGGAACGACTGAGTAAGTATTCATGATACGATCTGGATATTCTTCACGTATCTTTGAGATCAATAAAGTTCCCATTCCACTACCAGTTCCACCTCCAAGGGAATGTGTCATTTGAAAGCCCTGAAGACAATCACATCCTTCAGCTTCTTTACGGACGATATCCAAAACGGAATCAACCAATTCAGCTCCTTCTGTATAATGGCCCTAAATTATTAGAAAAATGAAAGATGGACGTCAGCAAAAATCTTTTATTTTTATTGCATCTGAAAAATATCTCATTTACCTTAGCCCAATTGTTGCCAGCTCCCGACTGGCCAAATACAAAGTTATCAGGTCTGAAAAGCTGTCCAAAGGGTCCTGCACGAACTGAATCCATTGTTCCACATTCCAAATCAACCAAAATAGCTCTTGGAACGTATTTTCCACCTGACGCTTCATTATAGTAGACATTTATGCGTTCTAATTGGAGATCAGAATCTCCATGATAACATCCAGTTGCATCAATACCGTGTTCATCGGATATTACTTCCCAAAACTATTGGGATAATGTATTAACAACTTGAAATTAATTTTATTGTGTTCCCTGAAGACACATTACGATATAAAACTAAGTCAAATTAAAATTTTCTAAGAAAAAATGCGTTTTCAAAAAAATCAATACTTTATTTATAAATTACCTTTCCACCGATTTGATTTCCACACTGTCCAACCTGTACATGTACTATTTCACGCATTTTTACTTATTTAAACTTTACAGTTCGTCCTTAAATTGAATTAATTAAACTTTTAGACAATAATTTGTTCAGAGCAAAGAGAGCGAGAAAATAACTGCGTTCTTATTTAAGGGGGTTTGCTATGGTGAAAATTTGCTTTGATCTCAGACAATTCTCGATTCTTCTGGAAGCTTTTTAAATTTTTTTTCTTGAATGTCAGTTGATTTATATTACACTATTTGTCGTGCTCTGTTGCTTTAGCATAATATTAAGGATATTTTATTTTATTGGCATCAAACAATTTCGATTAAAGTCAACTTTATTAAGACCATCGCACCATGCTGTCATAAAAAATCAAACTTTTTAAAGCCGTTATAATTTTGAACGTGGTTGACGTGGTTAAGAGTTTTTAACATGGATATGAATATTCAAATGAGTCATAATTTTCTGCTGCTCTTATTATTCCCATGGCTTATTGTTTTTAAATAAATCGGTCAATTGGGAATTTTCTTCTTTTCTCATCCATGTGTGGATGTGATAAATGGATACAAAAGAGTTTACCCTCTAATAAGATATAGCAAGAATGTTGAAAGAAATTTTACTTTAGATTCTTTGTGTATTCGTGACAAATTTATTGCCCTTAAAAATGTTTCTACAGTTTCGTCACCGGATGGTTAGAAGAACTTTGATGCTAATCATGATATTTTGGGATTTTTATGTGATTTTATAAAGTTTTCTGTTTCACATGATTTTTCTTAAAACATCAATTAATTTTACTGGCAAAGAAGAAAGTTGAAGCTTGAAACTGTTGATGCTCATGATGATGATGATGCACAATAAAATGAAGAAGAAGCTTCTGAATTATTTTCTTTAATTGCAACACGCGTAAAATTTTAATTGAGCAATTAAAAATCTAAAAAAAGAAGGAATAAATTTTTATGTAGCATGACTGTCGTTCCTCCTTTCCTTTATTCTATGATATTCCAAATCTGTCTTATTACTTCAATTCTCAATAAGGCGAATAAAAATCCAACAAAAGTCATCTTTCAAAACATTCGACAACATTATTACATGGAAAATGTATAAATAGTCGTAAAAGTCTTCTTCTTGTTCCTCCCTTGTAGTCATGAAAGAATATAAAATTAAAATAATGTTCAGGCGTTTCGAATGTTACACGACTAATTACCAATCTGTTTGAGATGAAGAGACAACATGCAAATTAAAAAAAAAATGTATCTTAAATATTTATGAATGGATGTAATGTAACATGACACCTAGAATATATGTGTAGCTCATAAAGTTGTTTTGTATGCGACAAAAACAGTCATAAAGTGGAAATGTCGAATGGCAAAAAATTTGATATCTTCATTGGTTTCCTTACAATCTGTTATTTTGTATGATGCTTGCTGTATCCATTGCTGAAAAGTTGCGTCAACATTCATTGGAAGGCTGTTATGTGATACATGAGCTACCTCTGGTGATGCTTATTGCTGTCGATCTTAAGATTGCTAAAAACCTATAACAAGTACAATCTTGCTTGTACTTTACCTAAATTCAAAGCACTTAAACTTCCCCAAATCAATATAAAATCGTAATGAATCATAAATTCATGTTTTCCATTCTAATAATCCCTAAGTAAACATCAACACCGTTTCAACAGCGTTAAATTTTCCGAAAGGAATAAAGTCGGCATTCTCTGTGAGCACGATGCCGAATATTTTTTTTGTCAGATGTTATTTAGAAAACAAGTTATGTTTATCTATTGCCTACGTTAACACATTTTATGCATTAAGATTTGTAAAATATGGAAGTTTTCCGATATGATCTCTTAAGTAGCTGCATCCTTCCACAAAAAAATATGTAATTTTTGAGTGAGAATCATAAGTGTCATATCCTCTTATTTTTGGTAATATTTTACATTGTTTCTAAGTTTTGATACTTCCCAAAGGAATAATCATAAATTAAGTAAGAGATTGAGACATTTTTTTTAACGGATCATAGTTGGAGAGGCATGCATTCGTTAAGATTTGGTGCTTATGATTTTTTTCCGTTCCTTACTTCTGAATTTATCAAAATAATAAATACAGGAACTCAAAAGTAAATTGCGAATGACTCAATCCAGAACAGAATCACAATGCTGATCTTGTTACGATCAAATAAAATTGTTACCAAATTTTTATTTTCATGTCTTTAAACATCCACAAAAAGTCAAGAATTAAGAAATTTGCAAAGTCAGACAAACATGTTAATTAACATAATTTATAAAACTTTTAACAGCAAAAAGAAATTCTTTCTAATGGCAATAAATGTTTCTAAGGCTTAAGCAAAAAAAAAAATTATTGCGATGAATGTTGATGTTAATTATGTGGCATTTAAATTCTTTATAATGTTATTTTGGGTTGAATAACAGAACAAAGTCAAGGAGTAAGAAGCCAAAAAATGAAGAATTTTTTTATATATAAGATAAATGCAACATGACATGAAATTGAGTTCAAGCATAAACTCTTGAATTCTTGAAATTTTCTAGACGAGATTTATAAATAAGTCAAGTAATTGCGGCAGATTGGAGAAGAAAGGCTCAAATGAGACGTTACGAACTACTTTTGTATGCCATTTTATTACAAAATGCAGTGAAATTGTCTCAAAAAATGTTTCAATGAATGACTTGAGGAGATGTTATTAAGTAATGTCAATCGAGGAGCCTAAGCAGTACTTCTGTTGAAAAAGAGATAAAAGATACCAAACTTAATTAAATAGGTTTGATAAATAATTTTAAAATTTGTGACAAGATGGGTCTAGAGCAGTGCCTTTCAAACTTTTTTGGTCAGCGACACACCTTGATGATAAGCCATGACCAAAACCGTACACGGCATACGGCTAGTGAGATTTTCCAAATTTATTTGCGACACATAGTTTGGAATTCACTGGTCTAGAGGATCAAAAACGAGATTTTTGCGTTCAGCAATAATAGAACAGCCTACAATTTCCAAACGTCATTTTAAAACGGCTCCTTTTAAAACAACAAAAAAAGATTCTCAATAATAATAATTCAACCCACTGATCGTGTGCCAACTTTATTTTTTTTCGCAATTTTCATTTTTTGTCTCGTCGGAATCTTACTCAATTAAATGCCGAATCTATATTTTCTCTTACGTAGATGCCAGACAACAATGAAAATGTTCGTAGAGAATAAATGTAAAATGCGACAACATAAAAAGAAGATTATCGATAAATTTCACCTTAAATGATGACAGTTGGAATCAAAAAGCCGAGAGAGTGTGCAAAACTTCAACTTAATTTTTCATCAACACATTTTTCATTCTGCAAATTGAAAGTGAAAAAAGGCAGTCAGTGAATTTTCCTTCATCAATAAATTTCTTTTGAGGGGACAAAATTGATATGAGAAGAGAATGGCTTGTTGAAAATTCTTGTGCCTGCTGTTGACACGATTCATGGCTCATTATACAGCACGATTTATGATTTCTTCGCTACAGATAGAGCATATTGTCGTTGTGATTCAACTGATGTCATAATTTAAGAAACTTTTATGGAATCCATTTCCTTTATGGCATCATCACGCATCGCTAACATCAGAGGAACTGAGATATTCATTTAAATACCTTCATTGCTACTGTAATTTATGAGACAATTCTTTTTCTGCATTAATAAAGCGTAAAATTTTCGATTTTCAGTGAAGGAAAAACTTGAAACTTTTTCCTAGAATTTGTCATATTTGAAAAATTTGCCATGCCAATTAACATGCGAAAATTTAATGCTGCACTTATACACATCTGCAGAATTTAATTCAAATAGATATATGGATATGCTGAAGAAAATTGTCTTTTCACGGTTCATTTTTCTACCTTGTAATTTTAATTTTGTAGGGATTTTATTTCCCAGAAGCTATTATACTGATTTGTCACTTGTATGTAAACTTAGGGATAATTCACATGTTATGTCCTAGATTTTAGATTGCAGAAATGTTTTGAGAGGAGTCTGTATCCTTTTGAACCCTCCACTGACTATAGTCACAAGAATTTTTGAAAAACACAATTTCAAAACTTTTGAAAATCCAAGCCTTAAAATTTTCTATAGTTCAGACGATATGAACAAAAATTAAGATCATGGTTGATGCAAAAAAATATTCATAGACAGGTACTAGACAGTGAATCTGTAGCAAATGAACATCATGTAAGACGTTGTGCATATTATGAAGATTTAAACAGAAAATTTGTTAAAATTAAGAGAGATTAACTCATATAACATTCATCATCCGTAAGCAAAAAAAAAGAAGTCATACTTATTCTTTTCCATTTTGACGTCGCAACATGAAAATGAAAATCATTAAAATGTCATACAACCTACTGCATATAAATGACAATCATTTACAACGCGCTATAAAATCACAAGTTTATTGTGTGCGATCTCTTAATCTCATGCATCATGAATAATACTCATTCTCATGCCACACACATGATGACGATTCTAGATTAGAAATTTCCGTATACAAGCATTTATCAACATTTATTATGTCGCAGTCCTCGCCAGACACTGTTGGATGGATTTTCACATGATTTAGTTTGAAAATATGCGAATTTTACATCTCATCCGAGAATTCTTGTTTATGAGCAATGCGTCGCAAAGGAGACATATGGTAAAGATTACTGTATGAATTATTCTAAACTGATCTTTAATTTTAAATCTTGTAGATAAGTGAGTCAGCCTTATGATGGATATTAAGTTGGAGAAACTTTATTAGGGCGCATTTAATGACAATTCTGATCAATGTTAACTTGGAACTTAAGATAAAAATTGCGTCTCTGAAATGAAAGATTATTCTGAAGACAATCAAATCTTGTCAGCATTAAACATTAATAAATCATAGGAAAATAAATTTTCTTGATCAAAAAAAAAGTAAGTGAGAAGATCAAACAGATGAGGATCCTCAACAGAAAAGAGAGCAAAGGAAATAGAAGAGAGCATAAGATGAAGCTCCACCCACACTTCAACAGAAGCATGACTGAATCATTTATGTTGATGATCAAACAGTTAAAAACATTAAGTTTACTACCGGAAGTTTTGAGAGACATTTCTGCAATTCTTTTTGGACATTACATGCATTTTTTCTCAAATAAATTATCAACAATATCTTTCACAGTCTCTTGAGCATAAAAAAAGAAGGAATAACTTTTTTTTGTTGACATGAAAAACTATCTCGAGAAATTTTTCCAACCGTATGAAAAATGAGAGAGGCAATTTTTTTTTCTGTCACATATGTGTGATTCTCAGTTCTTTCTTGATCATCTACTTACTTTTAAGACACAAGACAAGGAAAAAATGTATCATCATACAAATATATCTGTAGATACTTATATTTAAATATTATTTTATGTAAATGTCTGACTGAGGAAGATTTTCATTCCTAGAGATCTACGTTCAGTCGATTGACGAAATTTGACGATTACGGTTGGATTCTTGTTTGAAAAGTTGACAAGAAAATAAGATTATTTAATTTATTATTGTCTATATCGTGCTGTGCCGGGTATAATAATTGTGCAATAATCAAAGATTATAAAACAAGGTTGTAAAAATGACAAAATATAATCAGTGTATAACAAATAGAAAAGATCAATCAAATAACCAAATCAGTGTTAAGCATAAATCAAGCTATGATCATATAAATTCACACGATTTTAATGACAATCTTACGAGCATGCTCGAATCAAAAATGAGTGGATTATTATCGCAACAAATCGACATGATCGATGACAGTAGCAGCATGAGTTCAATTACATCTATGGAAGAACATATTTTGGCACCAAAATGTATTTCTGGAAAGTCAAGACCTTGTCTAACGTGGGCTTGTAAGGCTTGTAAAAAGAAAAGTGTCGCAGTTGATCGTCGAAAAGCTGCAACTTTGAGGGAAAGGAGAAGACTGAGAAAGGTAAGGACTGTGGTGTCTGAGTAGAGTGGAATCTGTCGTGTCCAACAGATATTGGTTTTTCAATATTAATATAGAGTTAATCCAAGATTCTTACAAAGCTCACGACATTATAATTTTCCGTCGGAAATTTTTGATCAACAAGAAAAATCACATTTAAGGTGAATGAAGCCTTTGAGGTGTTGAAAAGAAGAACAAGCAACAATCCCAATCAAAGACTTCCAAAAGTGGAGATCCTCAGAAATGCGATTGAATACATTGAGTCATTGGAAGACTTATTGCAGGTGATGTCAAAAAAAAATTCGAAAATTTATTTTGACAATATTTTTCTAAAATGAAAAATTTCCATTAAATAAAACAACAGGAAACGCCACCACCTTTACGACAAAGTCCAGATTGCTTCAGTGAACATTCAAATGGACGACCGACTGTTCAAGATTACATGGTAAGTTAAATTTGATTTATGAGCGCAAGTAAATGATGCACAACGATTTAACAAATTTCCACGTCAAATTCTTATGTATGTCTTCTTCTCAGTCTATTTTAAATACATTGTAAGCCTTTTCCTATCGAATAACTTCTTGATCATGTCTCTTTTGATTTGACAAAATGATAAACTTTCGGATATAAATCATATCTTTTTTTGTCATTTTTAATACTCGAGAATATTTTCGTATGAGTGAAATAAACAAACATTGGATATACTTTTCTCGTGAAATTCAAGTAAATTTTCACTTTTTTTTTATTCCAATAATAACATTTTAAACGATCCACGAAAAGTTGATCTTCATTAATGCGTATGTGTATGCAAACTGAGAGTGGGTGACAAAAATCGCATCGTTTTACATCCAGCTATCTGCCTTTTTAAAAATGAATAATGAATTGTTACAGACTTAATGGAGTCAAATAGTCAAAAATGTAGAATGATAAATATGAAAATGAAATTGAGAAATTAAGGTTAATTAATTTGGAAAGATGAACTGCATTTTGAATTCGGGATTTCGCAGCATCAACATTTTAATTTTCGGATTTTTTTTAAAAAAACATTGAAAAGGTTGTGGAAAGTGCTAAATCGGACTAATGGTTGATAATATATATTTCAGGAGATTATCATGGTTTTCCTAAGTTATACAATTTTGGATGAATATTGTTATTATTCAATGCAGCGTGGATACGATGTAAAATTGTTGTTGGATCAAATCACATTGAGAATGAAAAATTCTTACTTCTTTTGATTCAAATTATAACTGATTAGCTCGCATATCATTAGCTTACTAGCTCATGCTTCATAGTATCCCCATGAGAATTAGTTTATTTTTAAAATTCAAGTTTAAATCCAAGCACATAACGTTATCAAACAGAGATTCCAATAAATCTAGTGGAATATTCTTCCAATAAACAAAACGCCCATGATGATGCTTACCAACAACAATATTTTGATTTTTAATTCTCTGATGAGCAACAGTTCCTAAATTTTGGGTAACTCTTAAATAAACTGAAAGTCGCAACATTTTATATCATTTGAATAAATATACAAGGAAAATACTCTTAAGCGATAATTTTTCACCGTCACAGGCACATAAAGTTTCTTTCCATTTAATTCAAACACAATATGTTGATGTCAAAACAAAATCTCAAAACGCTCAAACATGCAAGCGATGAAATTTTTTGTTTCTAATATTTTTCTTGCCTGTCTGCCTGCTTGAAAAATCAGAGATTTTCATTTGACTTTACTTTTGACTCATCCAATGATAAATTAATAAAGAAAAATAGTATTTTTGTGAGGCTTAAATTATAGAATCGTGTCACTCTTACGAGATATACATTGTATGCTAATACATCAGATATGCATTTCCCACTTGAAATGTGATCGTACGTATTTTTCTCTTCTTTCAATTTTTGTTAAGGGGATCATCATTTAAAGATTTTTTACGATGACACGCGAGAATTTTAATGTTTTTGGATGGAAACGAAAAAATATATAAATGTATACCTACATGCATCAAGGGGAAATGAGAAGGAAAATTTCAATTTTCAACGATTCCATTACAGTTGACATAATTTAATCCGGTCTTTTTAAAAATATTCGTTGATACACAATATCTGTGGATATTGAAAATTTTCTTCTCGCGGGATTCATTCGGAAATGATGTAGCGTATAATGGAAAAAGTGGGTTTTATACTTTTAGATGATCAAATCTTCAAGTTTTTGGATTGAATCCTTGTAAACAAGAATAACAAATATCTCTGACCACTTTTAGACCCGAGTAACACAGCATAGTCGCTAGGGTAAAGCTATCTCGCTGTATTAACGTCAAAATGTTAGGGAGTGCTATTTAACGGCTTAAAAAACGATATTTTCTTTAGTGTGTCGCTCAAATAGTTTCGGAACTTGCATCGAACAAGTCGCCCACTACCTTACAAATGAGAAGAAAATTCAAGAAGAGAAATTTGTCCCCACAGACTCGTTAATGACATTAATAAATTCTTTAGAACCATGTCCATAAATCCAGTAAGTGAGGCATTTAACTGACTTGTTAAAAACTTGCAAATCGTATAAATTAACCGTGATTACCTAGAAAAAATGTTTGTAGAAATTTATTAACATTTGCTAAAGACCACCATCAATTATTAAACGATTTAGGATGAGAAGATATCACTTTACACATTGAAGTCATAAAAGAAGGTTTCATCTCTTTAAAACAAATTAAATTATCTTTAAATTTAACTACTTGCTGCTTTTATTAACATGAAAAATGACAAATTTATGACAACTTTATTTTCAACATTTTATTGATGTCGCTATTTCTGCTTGCCTCATTTTAAGTAATAATATCTATTTGACTAAATGACAGGATGGTTATAGTGAGAAACACATTGCATGTCATGACAGTAAATATCATGAGAGTGTCAAAAATCTCTGTCGTGAAATGTAGAAAGTGTTATAATAAGGTGCAACTTAACAAATGAGATGAGCTTCCGATGAGGCCACACAAGATTTACATTTTCTTTTAACAATTTGAATTTTTTAGATTTTTTCATACAAATTGTTCATTTTGTCAAGCATTGTCTAATCGCTGACATTGGAATAGACTTAAAATATAACCCGAATAGCACAAGTCGTTTAATTGAATAGAAATTCAGCACCAAGCAGGCGTGACTCTGGCATGGTGCTGGATTTAAATCAAAGTTCAGCATCATGCCAGAATCATTACGGTTTGTTGCCAGATTTCTGATTGTTTAACCGACTTGTGCTATTCTGGTAAGTAAGAAGCGATTTTGCACTTAAACTAAGCCTAAAGGAATGACGGAGTCTTTTTCAGACGCCAACTAAAGGTGGGTATGGATCACAATTGATCTGTAAAGCTAGCGATGTATGTATATATATTTATATAAGGAGCCAAATAGCATAAAATAACCAAAATTTCAATGAATATGCCCTCATAGTATACAAACAAATTGTCAATGGTCCAAATACTCATTCTCTAGTGTGATTGATAGTGGCAATTTGTTCAGGTCAACATTGGAAGGCAATTTCGAAAATATTTCAAATTGTGAAAAGTCTGTAAAAATAAAAACAATTGCCTGTCTTTTAAATTTGAAATCTCATTTTAGAATTTAGCTCCTTGGTTCTTTAAATGTTCGTTTAATTGTCATGCAGATGTTTCCGCAAAAATGTGATCCTCACTAATTTTTTGGCGCTTCTTAAAGTGCATAAAAGAAAATTAAATATCTCGAAGAAATCGTTGAGCATGAAGAACGTTAATTTATTAGCTGTCAAGAAAATTTGCTTTGAAATCTTGATTTCATGGCAGTGATAATACTGATGACAATAAAAATTAATTTCGGTTAAAGTCTTTAACTTTTCGCTTGATTAACTTCAACAATCAATAAAGCGGAATTTATTTCATCTTTGACACAAAATTTACAAGTCGAGAAATTTTCTTGATCTTTGACTATGATTTATGCGTGTTTCTTTGTTACTTAACAACATCAGTTGAAGAAATTTTAAATTCTTTTTATGACTTTCCACGCGTTTCTGAAATTTAGTACGAAAATCGTTGTTGACGTGTAGATGATATGTGACTATATATTTATATTTGACAAAATTGATGTGTATATCCATTGGATTATTAATGTTTTTTAAGAAAATAGAAATGGCAAGCATATTCTGAACTAGTCGTTACTCATAGCAAAACTATGCTAAAATCGTACATTGAATTGAAGGACATGAAGTGTCAGCATAAAAATTGATGCCATGAAACTTTATTGAGGTTGAAAAAAAATCAGGTGATCAAAAATAAATGAGGCAAATAACCTGTCTGGGAATTTTCTATAAACTGTCACATCCTTAATAAAAATGAAAAGAAACTACTCTGTTTATCACGAAGACTTTTAAATTCCTTCACGTTTTAAGAATAATTAATGCCATTTTACGATTTTCCACTCTATCATCATAAAGTTTTTTCCTTCAAGTAAATGTTGAGTAATTTTAAAATTGTAGGCACGAAATCGTATAAAATGAGGGAGGAAAAGAATATTTCACAAAGGATTAGAGCTAGTTTTACGGCTTTCCATTAAATATTAAAGTCAAATAGTCTGCATATATTACAAAACAACTCATTTATGTTGAATCTTCTTCATTCGATAAATAATGAAGAAATAATAACAAAATGTATAAAAAGCCTCGAATATAAATGTACAAAAAGGCGTAAAAACATGACATTTATAACTTGTATAATTAAAAATTTATTTCATGCTTTACATGATTTTTTTTTCATCATCTTGATCACCGCTCATTTGTAGAAGTTTACTGTAAATAAATTTGTGACTTAAGTATCAAGAGAAAAGGTTTAATGTGTGGCATTTCTGGATCTTTTGGTTTTTTTTTGCCTTTTTGCTATCTTGTCATCTAAAGTTTGAAAAATGAAATGTTGGCTTTGGTTCGATAATTGACAGAGCCACACTTGTTCCTTTTTGATTGAATGTTCTTAAAAATAAAGCAAAAGAGTGCAAGCTGAAATGAAGTGAATTTAAGATCATTTTATATCTGTATGATCCATTTTATGAAATTCACACTTTTTAGAAAAAGGAATAAAACTTAACATCGATTAATTAACGCATCAGAGTTGGAACTTAATATGTACTCGGCATTTGTAATGACTAGCTTGAATAATTAATTGAGTTTTGCAGTTTTCATTGTCCTTAAATAATAAACATGAATTATTGTATATTGTGCATCTCTTGAGCCTAATTTGCCTTTGATCTTTTCATTCTCATTTTTGTATCCAACAAAGTAATTTTAATAAAACAAACCAAGCCAATTACTTTTAATTAAATCTGCATGGCAATGCGCTAATTGCATACAAATTTCTTCTAGAAGAAGAACAGCAGTGTGGATCGCTTCTTCTTCCTTTCGGTATGAAAACACTCGTGACATCATATCATGTATGAAAATGGATGATGATTCAAAGCAAAAATGTCTCAGATGTTTTTTTGAGGTTCTTTGGAAAAATTTAACGACACGTCATGAAACATTTTAAAAATCATTTATTCCATCTAGCTGTTACAACTATAGTGTGTCTCTTTGCTCTTCTCACTTGTCATCGCACTCATTTACCCTAAGTGTATCGTTCAATTATCGTCTCACAGTAGCAACATCAAAGAAACTGAAGACGAAATGTTCAGTTGATGTTGTGGTGCAGTAATTAATGATGAAAATAATTTTTTTTATGAATGGTAATTAATCGCAATATTCACATAGTGTTATCATTTACATATTTTTTGTTTGTATGGCATGCATATAAGGCGCTTACTCACTTTGAGATCAAATGACATTGAGAACAGATGAACATCTGCCGAGACACAGTTATGATTTTACTCTTATGGTTAGTTGTTCTGCACAATAAGGCTAATTATTTTCATATTTCTCGGATGTGATTTTTAATTATGAGCTGTCTACGACAACAAAGAGATTTTTATTGTTACCTATCAGGTTATATGCTTCTATAAAATTATTTCTTCATAAATACGATAAATACAATACAATCGTTCAAGCTTTTAAAAGAATTAGAAATCAAGCTGATCATTAGACCTACTATAAACATTTATGCTTCAACATTATTTTGATCAAAAAAGAAAACAGAAGAGAAAAAGAAAATGCTCGTGGAAATTTGCCAAGAAAATTTAAATGCGAAGTTTATTTTCTCTCAATGCCGGCTAATGGATGTAAATTAGAGAGCGACTTGATAGTTTGTTAATTTTAAATATTAATTAGTACCTCACAATTCAATTCCACTGATTTATACGCTTGTGATTTTTTATTTGCCAGAATTGCTATGCTGCTGGAAATTACCTCAAAGAACGGCTTCACCATCTGGGCAAGGATAGTGAAAAATTTTCTCCAATTACAAGTAAGCATTCAGTCATCGTGTCTAATTATTTCCGTTAATTAAATTACAATTTTTATCTTGTAGCATTCAATTCACCCATTAATGGCTCCAGTCTCGACTGCCTTAGTCTCATAGTTCAAAGTATTAGTTCACCTGATTCCAATGACACACCTGAAAATTCACCTAATGCAAATAGTCATATGCAGCAACAGAAAAGTAATCAATCAACAATGGGTCATCATCATAGCACAAACAGTATGAGCATACAGCACCACTTCAAGTGTGAATTTGATGCAAAAGTGTGAGGTTTTATATTTATTTTTTTAAAGAAAAAATAAGAATAACTGCAGTTTGTACATTTAATCATGAAAAACGTGTCAGCATAAGTCGACGTAATAGAGAAGAAAAATTATGATTTTTTATGTAAATAAATTAGTAAAGCTTTTAGTATTAATTCAAAATATAAACTCGGGTTAATTTTAGAAAATGAAAAAATTATAAAGAAAAATGAGATTTATTCACATCATTATGTGTAATTAAAATTTATTGTTCATCTGATGAATGAAAGGAAGGAAAGAGAAAAGATGAGATTTTAAATTTAATTCTATTTTTATCGTGAAAAAGAAATGAAAATTCTTATGAGAGCACTTTGTTCTGTTGACTTTGTAATAAATTTTCATTATCAGGTCGAGTCTTCAATCAGCTCTTATGGTTTAGCAACACAAAACTTTGAATTTTGAAATTTTGTAGACGAGAAATTTAAAGCTGTATTTTGTACACAGACAAGAGTAAACCAATCGTACTTAAAAACTTAACTTCATTCATAAAAGATAAACATGTAAATAAATAAATGTGAGAAATGGATATCAGCAATAAAAGAATCATGATTTATGTTTTTCTAACAGGATCCTTTTCGACACATTTCTACTAAACAACATGCCAATGTAATTTTACACTTCATTTAAATACTCTTGTTTCCGTTTTATGCTATACTGATAGCTACTTAAAAACTTTTGAGGTCTTCTAATTGTACAAGAATATCAAATTTCAATGTTTTGAGAATTTTTCCAATATTTTTGTACGTGCTTTTAGTTCAAATAGACTTCCGAAACAGCGAGTGAGACAATTTATTATCGATTATTCAAATGTTCTTAGTTTCAGAATCATACCAAACTAATCTTCTGTGAATGGATTACAAAACTGTAAATGTTTGCTGATTTTACTGTATTAATATCTTTATTAGATTAACCGTCTGTGCAAAATAAGACAAACTTAAACTGTGCAAACTACATTTCATTGTCAACAATCATCAATCAATATCAATAAGTGCCATCTTTCATCGTTAAAGCATTTGCATCACTATATAGTAATGAGTTTTTAAACAAAATCACACAAATAAAAAACACCGATTTAATATGATTAATTGTTAAGGCACAAAGAAAAATTATAGCTTTGACGTAATTCCAACAAAATCAATCTTATCCTCTGGCATTAGAAAATTATCGCATGCGAAAATATTTTTCGGGTCAAGTTCTAGTTTAATAGCTTTATACAAGTCAATTCCAACTGGTGATACTGATTGTTTGTACCATTTCTTACGTAGCTTACCAACTCCATGATGATGAGATATGGATCCACCTGCACAGAGAATTAAGTTTTAAATTTAAGACATTCTTTTTGTCGATAAACTCACCAGTCGCCAAAATGACATCACGAGCGGCTTCCTCTATTTTATGATATACCTCAAGTGGATTTTCGATTTTGAAACCAGGAACACTAAACTGAAATCCAAAATAAATATAAACACATGCTCCAGCATCATACGTCTGAGTCACTCGAGTGCTCGTGTAAAAATATTTGATTTTATGCTTCCTGCACTCTTCGCGAATTGTAAGTTTTACGTTATCACATAAAATTTCACACTTCGTCCATGGTACGGAAGTTTCAAATGATTCTGCAACCATACCACAATCAAGTCCAAAGTCCTGTGAAGAAACAAAATTCATTTGCAACCATTCTAAAACATTTGTTGTTATTAACTGTTGCTTACTCTAATGTATGCAATAACGTAGGTCAGAACCTGTTGATTACCAAAACAAACAAAACATCAGTAACAAAAAAACAATCAATCAATCAAGGGTCGTTTACTTATTACGTAACCAATACAAAAGGCTTTTGTTCTTGTTAACCTTTACAATATTAATTCTGAACGTAATAGGTAAATGATCCCATAACTCATCAATCTTCAATTAAACTTACATATCCTTTCTCTCCATTCTTGGACCCACTATTGAGACCATAAAACTCTTTTGCCACAGAATAAACTAGTTTTTCTTGTCTATCGACCTCCTCCAAACCTCCTTCAAATAGAATTGTGGCGATAGCTATTTCAGTCCAGTCATAACCTTTGACCTTTGTCAGCAAAAACTTTTTCAATTCATTTGTAAAACTTGCCATAGCGCCTTCATCAATTTTCAATGCTTGTCCGAATTGGAACTGATCATTGTCTATCAATCTGATACTAGCTGGTTGACATCTTCGTTTGGCTATTTCTCGCAAGTATTTAATACCATATGAAAAGTTTGGAAACACAATTGATCCATATCGTCTGACTTTTGGGAAAGGACGAATTTTTACTTCAACTTCTGTAATGACTCCTAATGTGCCTTCACTTCCAAATATTAAATCATCTAAGCTTGGACCAATATTTTTATGAGGTCCTGTAAATTTTTGATCATACACTCCTTTGCATGTGACAACCTTTACATTTAAAACTATGTCTTCAATATTGCCGTACAAGTTCTTTTTCATTCCTGATGCTCTAGTTGCTACCCAACCACCTGTTAATAATAAATCGCGATTTAATATGCAATCGATACAAAAATATTTCTTTATGGAATATTAAAATGCAAAAACTTATAGCACATACCCAAGGTTGAAAGTTCAATACTATCCGGTTCATGTCCCAAAGTAAAATTGTGCTCATTTAATACTCTTTCAAGATCTTGTCCAACAACTCCTGACTCAAAACATGCTGTTAAATTTTCCTTGTTAAGCCATAACAGTTTATTCATTTGGGATGTATCCAATACTGCAATTGATCTTTTCTCATCCTGTGGACAATGTATAGCTCCACTAACACTAGTTCCACCACCAAAAACAATCAGAACGACATCATTATCGTTTGCAAGTTGAACAATTTTAATAACTTCCTCATGATTTATTGGCCATAGAACTATATCCGGTATTCGTTTGAAATTTCCATAACGTAAATCATAAATTTCGTTTATAGTTTGTCCATGTGATCTTATCATGCGATCTTCACCGTCCAGTGAATAATCAAGTTTTAAATTTTTCAAGCCAATTACAAAATCATCAACTAAAATTGGCTCCGGATAGTCTATCGGCTTAAGCTTTATTTCTGTCATTGGAAACTCCAACACATTTCCAATTTCTACATTAAATAATGAATCTATAAACTTCTTGAAGTTCTCAAGCTTGGCGTTTGCGCTGACTAAATATCGAGGACTGGTAAAGTAGATCATTCGATCCTTGGTGACAAACTCTGAATCCTTGTAGCCTAAATGATGAATAAAAATCAATATTTAAGACATTCCTATTAATATTTTACTTACCCCAGCCATACCATTTAAGAAGATCTTGTCTAAATGGGAACAAAATGTGAATATTAATTCTGCAAATATTGACAACTTGCTCACCTCTTTTTTGGCACAACACTTTTGATTTCTATATTTTCTAAAATTTGACCACTCATTATTTCAGGAATTTACCTCTTCACCCCACAGCAGCTTTACAGAAACTGACTAGTTAACATTTATTTTTAATTGAACTTACTCATGTGAAATGTTTAAAATAAACTGTGAAGCAATGTTAGTGTTAATTGCATGCTTAAACGTTTGATAAGTATTGAAGCTTAATCGACAGTACATATTGATATACGCAGTGCATATGTATTGGCTTCATTTGTTAAGTTTTTTTGTGTGTTAATTCTACAGATTTATCTCAATCATGCAAGGTAAGTTTTTACTGCAAAAGTATGTCCATTAATAATCATTATATCGATTATCCTTTTTTACGTTTACTAATTACGTCCTCTCCCAAATATTGTGTACACATTTTCTTATTTATTTTATTTATTTCCCATTTTAAAAATGATACGTAATACCTGGACGTCGCCTTATCCATATTAATTGGCACTGATGAACAATAAGAAGCAATTAAGTCACAGCTTAAGACAGGGAAGAGTAGTGCATAGACAATCATTTGTTTTTATTTGAACTGCTTCATTTTTGGACTTCATGTCGAGTCATTTGTGAATGAACCTTAAAACTAGACATAGTATTTAAAGAACTGTAATAAAACTTTATTTCAATAGCTACAACAATAATTTCCTACTAAATAGTTCAATAATAAATATTTTTTACAGACGTGCGCATTCTTTTCCATTAACAGATTTTATTTCTTCAGGGATGTAGCTTCTGATTTTTGGAATTGTTCTTGGCGTCCTGATGAATGTCATGATTAAAATCGACATTGTTATGTTCATAGCAACCATTATACTGACTGGAACTAGCTGACCGAATTTACCACAAAATCCAATAAATGGTGCTATCATAACTAGCGTCCTTGAAGTAGAGACTCCAGAGTAATTGCAAATCTTTTTCTTATCTTTTGAGACAATTTCAGTCATGGATGTTATAAACATAGACAATGTCGTTGATACTGTTGCTTTTGCAGTCATTGCTGTCGCCATATAAATGACCATCCGCTCAAAATGTGGGATTGAATCTGGTACAAAATTAGCAGAAAAAGCTATTAAGGATGCAGCAATATTTAAAAGACTTGTCCATAGCCACTTTTTGGAAGTGTTCAAAATAAGATATAGACCAATAAATGTTCCTATAATTTCACTGATCCCTGCAATTACTGTATTCACATTGAGGTATTCCCTACCCATTGCTCTGACATGAAGTAAATATGCGAAATAGAGCATTAAAAAGACTGACCAACCAATGTGAGCAATAAATAATTTAAACTTCAATCCAAATCCACCATCCCAAATACTCGACCATGAAGGTTCAGGAGGAGCATTTTCTGCCTGTATTGCTAGACTTTTCAGTTCTCTTTCCAATTCATCTTTACTGAAGTCTTTTTTACCATTGACTTTTGCTGCTGTAAGAAGGATTTTCATTGCCTCATCTACTTTTCCATGCTTAATAAGCCATCTTGGTGAGTCAGGAATCCAAGGATATAAAAACATTAAAATAAAAGTTGGTAATGTAATTGCAACATAAACAAGAGACCAGCTACTCCACCAAGATCCAGCTAGTGGTAGCAAAATCACCCCAATCGACCAGAATTGTTCAAATAAGCAAACAACTCCAACTCGATATTTTCCACTTGTTATGTCTGCTAAAGTCATAATACCAATACATTGTAAGCTACATGTTGCGGCAACAGCACATCGAAAGAAAATATGAAGCAGATATGTTGGTGCATAGCCTGTTGCTATTCCTAAAAATATCTGTGAAATCATTCCAACAAGCATTGTTCTTCGTGGACTTATGCTAATTAAATTAAAGAAAATTATTTAAGATCTTTAATCAGACAATGTTAATCGACTCACGACTTTAGCATGTAATTAGCAATTATACCGCCAATTAGCACTCCCAACAAGTGAAAACTTTGGGTTAGTGCAAGAAGAGCTTCGCGTGAACAGAACAGTTCATATTGATTGATGATTGATATATAAGTACGGTGGAAAACATGACCGAATTCTGTGCATGGTAATAAATAATTCGATGCATCGTACGATTGAGTTTGGTATCTTTCTAATGAGTCATTATAAATTGTACAAAAATCATAAGATGCTTCATTTTCAACACGATTATATCTGTCCTTATGAGCTGCCTTAATCCACAAGGATGTTGAGTTACTTGGAATGTTTATCGATGGTTTACAGAATATTTCTCCTGTCAGTGGGGTCTTTGCCGTAAAAATCAACTGAAATTCAAGGCTTTTAATTATTTTTGATTGTTTAGGAAGTTGATTCCACTTACGCATGCCATGAACCTGCAATTAGAAAATACAGTTTTAATTTCCTCAATGAGAAATTAATTAAAAATTCAAAAATTCTAAAATAGAACTCATTTACACAAAATAGCCTGTCTTGCAACTAATTCCTTACCATGCCGATGGAATCTTCACGAGAAAGATCAGCAAAGTTGATCTCAGTTGAAATTTTCCAAAAGGTCCAAGAAAAATTGCAATTGCGTCATTATCAGCCATTCTGTACAAAGCCTACAATCATCACAGTTCAAAACCTAAGTCAATCTGAAATTATTGGTCAAACTTTATGTATAACTTAGATTGATGCCGGACCTTGAAACTTAATTTAAGGTTCTTTCCTAAATCGATATCAAATAAATTGTTTATGTTTAGCCAAAAGAGAATATTCAATGCATGACAATATTGTCATCAAATGTATGAAATTTCTTCCGCTGAACGTACGTCATGAACAAAAATTTTGGCACTTACAGCAATTTCAAATTATTTTGCTAAAAATAAACACGGTCTGCTGATTTTCTGTCGCGTGCTCTGAGAACGGAATGTTTTATCTTGTCCGAGTCTAAAGTAGAACTGACAATGAAGAACCAATAAATCTTCCCGATAAAAAATAAATTCGCACAGTCGTGAATTAGTTATCAGCTGCTAAGTGCATGGTTCTCAAATTTTACTGGCTAAAGCCGGATTCAACTTTTAATAAAGCCACAAAATCAATAGTCTAATACTGACCTAAAGCAACAAGAAAAATATTTTCATCACTTTCAATTACAGAATCTAAAGCAAGACTAAGCTATATTTTTCTAACGACACGATACAAGAATTTCTTATTAATTTAAATGAATTTGTTTCTCGCAAAGCATTTGATAGTCAATTAATTGTTTCGTTGTCAGAGAGAACTTTACTTTCTGATTGTTATCATTCATAAGTTTTATTGATAAAATAATTGTTTGAATAATGAAGGCACGATATAAATGAAGTGATGCAAGTATAGTGGATTATAATAGATACAATTGAAGTAAAAGCTCTGAGGATTGAGGCAGGTAAATATTGTCTATCAATTAGATAATTACATGATAAGAGGATTAAATTAATTGCTTATTTTTGTGTATAAACTAAGCATGATATTAATTAATCAAAAACATGTTTTTGTCTGTATGCATTGTTTTTTATGCAGCTAGAAACTTCTTGTAACTTAATTTTGTGATTTTTAATGAATTTTTTTCTCCGTTAAGAGCTGACACGTGTTCATAGATAAATTTCCGTTAATTATAAAATTTGAATTTCTCATTAGAGCATTTTTACAAAACAATTTTGTTGCAATTTCAAATTTCAAGTTATCTTATCATTTATCAAAATTTATCAATATTTTCCACGATTTTAATCTTTATAATGAATCAGTATGATGATAGTCTTTAGTTCTATGCATCTATTAATCAGTTGTTTGACAGCTTTTATCATCTTCCAACCGTCGTTTAATTTTCAAATGCCATTCTGATCAAGGCGTGGATACTCACAACATTACGCAAATAAATTAAATTTTACTTTAAAACTAATACAGTATGTAATCTTCATAATCCAGCTTAATACAAGGAACTTTAATATGTTCCACGTATTATTATCAGTATCAGTAGTCTGCTTAAAGTTCCTCAGTGAAAGGTTGTCAAAACAATTACTAGTGTCTTCGCATTGATTGTAAGAAAAACAAATCAATTTTCAAATTCAAAGATTATATCATTAATTTATATCTGGTTAATATAATTAAGTAAATTCAAGTGATATGGCAACGAGTGACGATAGTGATGAGTTCTTCGAATGTGAGAGCCCTTCAAAATTATCTATAAAGTGAGTTTTTGTGGATTATCTTTAAAATAAAGTTATCATTTTGCAATATGAAAATTGTCAAGTTCCTACCTGAAAAAAAATATAGCTCTTATCTATTTATTGCAAAGTATTTATACTTGATAAACGAAGAATTATGTATTTATCGACAATAATTTTATTCATTTAGACGAAATTCAAAAGAAGATCAGCTGCCTTTTGACTTTAATAAAACATCCAGCTCAATAAAAGACGAAATACTGGAACTTCAAAGACAGCAACAGGAAAGTCAGGAGACTAAACCAAATCATGACTTTCAATTTGTTGAGCCAAGATCTGTAAGTATTATTATAGCAGAATGACATGGAATTAAAGATAATTTGTGCGTGTATGTGTTAATCGACGACGAATGAACGAAAAAATATAAAATTGATGACTCAATCTAATAAATATTTTATTATTGTGTATTACACATAGAAGCACCGACAGCGCTTTAAAGAACTAAAGTCCTGCTTAAATAACGATGATGATTGCGATGATAATGTTAACAATATTAACAATGATTCCCAAGTAATTGCTTGTACACATCACATAAACTTTAATTTATTAACAGCTTGATATTTATTTTCTAGGATCCATCAAATAGCTCGGCAAGAAGCATCGATGCAGCCTCGAGAAACACTGTTCAGTCGTCACATCCATTTCGAGTAATTGATAATGATGGCTTATCAATTCACTCGATGCAGTCACTTGGGAGAGTTGGACGAATTCTTTCAGGAAGTTTAGAGCCAAATGCTTTAAGTATAAGTCGAGAACAGCCACAACAAACACAACAGCAACAAAGTCCACTCATGGAATCTCCATCAAATAATGTTGATATGCCATCAAGCTCAAATTTACAACCATCAGATAGTCATTCACAGTCAAGCAACTATTCCTTAACAATTAGTCGAAATCCAACAATGCTACAAGAACCCGATGTAATTGCAAGCACAAAATTATCACATTCAAAAACAACTGATAGTGTAAGACATAAAGTTACATGCTCATTATTATGACATTTATTTAAATTAAAGTTATTATAATCTTTATAATTATAGATTACGTCAACTGGTTCTGCACAACAACAACCAGTTGCTCCACCTCGTCGTAAACGTAACAAGAACCGTAAAGCTTCATCGTCATCAGAACATCAGTCAATTATTGGAGATGCCTCGTTGAAATTAACGCCTATTGATAAATTATCAGATGCCTTACAGCCGCCATCTACATCGATGACTATAACAACAAATAGCCTAACTGTTTCAATGTCAACGACTACAAATGAGACGAAAATAAGTAATTTAAAAGCGGACGATAATTCAACTCCAAGAATTCTTCCAAGTCCTGCGACTTTACATGCTATAACTAGAGAAATTGAAAATTCTTTTAAAGAATCCTCATCACTAGAGTCACCGACAGCAATAATAGTTGGTTCTCCATCAAACAATACAAGATTTACAGGCTCATTGAGCAAAATTTCATGTTCACAATTTACATTTAATAAAGCTAGTAGTCCATCAAATAGTGTTAAAAGCAATTCAGCCCCTGGACGTGTAACTTCAATGGATCCACATTTTACAATGAGCATTCACAAAGTTACGCAAGGAAATTTCTGTGTTAAGCCACAAGATGAAATAGTAAATCGTGGCGAAAGTAAGTTGAAAGAAGGTGAACATAAAAAGTCGTCGACAACAATGGAAGACATTGAGAGGCTACAAAAGATGCGCACTGAAATATCTGGTAGCGAAAGACTCAAATGGCCTGGAATTGGCTCTAATAGTTTAGGAAATGATACACGTTATAGACCGGAATCAATAACAGACTCGAAAGAACGAAGAAAATCAGCTGGTGATGAAGAAGTTTTTAAGCAATTAAATGTAAGCGTTCGAATGCGTTCTGATTCTGGTCAACGATTGACTGATAAAGAGATTCTCGATCAAGTTCCTGTAAAAAATTTAGATACTGGTGAACATTTCCCATTATCCATTGCTGACGAAAAGACCGAACAATGTATTAATCCATTATCACTTTATATCATGCAATATGCTTCACATATTCGTGAATCTGACGAGGAATCAGTAGGTGGTGCCACCATTGGCTCAGAAATACCACAAGAAGAAGAAGAAAACGAGGAAGAAGAAGGTCGTTTAAAAAGGAAAACAGCAAGAATTAAGAAATTCTTTAAAGTCACAGCACAAAAGGCTGCAAATAAAGCTAAATCTATAGCATCGGAAGTATCACATGCACGACATAAAGAGGATATTGCAGACATTCCTGATGTTGCTAATCCTGATAATACGATTAAGATTAAAGCTAGTAAGACAAATACAGGTCCCTATGAATTCTCGAAAATCCAACATTTACAGGATTTGTCTGGAGAGCAATCTGGTGCTGTTTGGTGCATGAAATTTTCGCCTTGTGGTCGAATGCTAGCCACTGGTGGACAAGATAAATTGCTTAGAATTTGGGTTTTAAAAGATGCTTATCTACATTTTGAGGAATTGATTAAGAAGTTTAATGCTGATCAAAAGTCATCTCCAACACCATCTCAAGAATCTTTAGTTTCACATCAATCATTTGAAGAATCAGCACAAATTTTACATGCTGTAGCAAATTCAACTGGTCCTTTTATCCCAATTCCTTATAGAACATATTATGGTCATACTTCTGATTTATTAGACGTCTCATGGTCTAAATCACATTTCATATTATCGAGTTCAATGGATAAGACTGTTCGATTATGGCACATTTCACGTCGTGAATGTTTATGCTGCTTCCAACACATTGAATTTGTTACAGCAATTGCATTTCATCCACAAGATGATTCATTCTTCCTTAGTGGCTCACTTGATGGACGATTGAGATTATGGAATATTCCGAATAAAAAAGTTTTTCTTTGGAACGAGATCGATGGACGTAGACAGTTAATAACAGCTGTTAATTTCTGTCAAAATGGCAAATTCGCTGTAATTGGAACGTATGATGGCAGATGTTTATTCTATAATACAGAACAGCTTAAATATCACACACAAATTCATGTGCGTTCGACGAGAGGAAAGAATGCAACAGGCAGAAAAATTACAGGAATTGAACCGATGCCTAACGAAGATAAAATCTTGGTGACATCAAATGACAGTCGTATTCGATTGTATGATTTACGTGATTTAAATTTAAGCTGCAAATACAAAGGATATGTGAATGATTCACAGCAAATAAAGGCATCATTTAGTCACGATGGCAAATATATTATTAGTGGATCGGAGAATCAAAGCATCTATTTGTGGAAAACTCATCATGATTTTACAAAATTAAGTTCCGTTCGACGTGATCGTAGTGATTTCTGGGAAGGAATTAAAGCTCACAATGCGACAGTTACATGTGCCATATTTTCGCCACATCCAGAGACAATTATCAAGCCTGAAATTGATTCTGAGATTACCGAAAAAGAGAAAGTAGATCCATTAGTTGAGCAAAGAACAAAAGGTTGTGGAGGCTATGTGATGGTCAGTGTTGATTTCACTGGATGCATCAAAGTTTTTGTCAACAAGACAAAGCCTAAACACTCGAGCTTACCGTATACTGCTTATACAACACCCGATTGATGGTTAGCCGATCAGTCTAACATCTTGCCGCATTTTCCTTAACGGAACTCCTCATACTGATTAACTTGTAATTCATGAATCATGATGGATATTAAAAATAACTAGAATATGAAAAATAATTTCATTTACATACCTACCTACATCAATATATATCCATTTCCTTTTAATCTACGTATTTTAATTGTTTTCTGTTTTAAAAAATGGGTTTTTGTTGCAATTTAATGTTTTTTTAGCTCTTGTAGATATCCGAATGTAGCATGGACTATTTAATCTACATTCATATTTATTAAAATTTTATATAGATAATAAAGTTAAATAATGTACTGAAATCAACTAGATCTTCTGTATTGATTCTTAAGGATTCTAATTTTAGGTTTATTTTGATGTAAGGAACAAATATTTGCTTGAATCCAGTTGTGCATAGTTCATTAGTAAGATTATGAATTGTCACAAAAGTTTTTCAGCTCCTTGAAATTTGTCAAATATCATGAAAATTTTACGAGCTATTGATAAGGAGTTGAAAAGTCAGGATGGTCGAGTGGTCTAAGACGCTGCGTTCAGGAACGTCTTGAAAATCGCAGTCTCCTATAAGGAGGCGTGGGTTCGAATCCCACTTCTGACAAAAGTTAAAAACTTTACATTTATATAACACTTTTTTGTCAAAATTTTTCAAACCTTGATTTAAAACTTTCAAAATTAAAATGTCCGTTAAAAATACTGAAAAATCAAGTCATGGAGAAAAACTGAAAGCATTGTAAAATCGTATTTAAAAGAATTTTAAAGGTTTATTATGTACATAATTTAACATTTTCCTCTTTATATTTCACAAAATTAACCTACAAAAAATCAACATTTTCCATTTTCATTGTAAATCTTACAAAAATTCCATTCATCATCATTTTTTCCTTCACTTCATCCTTTTCTTGTTTGATAATATTAACGTAATTACACATTTATGAAAAAAAATTGACCATTAAAGGTCTATTTCAATAAAAAAAAAATATGTGATAGGCACAATTTTTAAGGCATTTCGTTTTTCTATCGCAAAATAATTGCGAGTTGTATAAAAAATGATGTCTCTTAGTTCATATTCATCAAAAATAAATGATATTCATTTTTTTTAAAAAAAAATTCTATAAGATGATCCTATCTAAATGAACTGGGGTACTGAATATACAAAAAAAAATAATTGATATATTTTTTAAATTCATCCTTTAACCGAAAAATGTTACATTTTACTTATTTAAGTCACAAAAAGTAAATTTCTACAAATTAAATAAAAATTTTCCTTCCCGCTGAAATTTTCTAGATATTTTCCATTAATGAAGATTGATAAAAGTGACTAGTGCGGATACGAAAAAAATTATATGAAAAACCTTTTTCTCTGTGTACGGTCTTTGTGCACTTTTGGCTTGATAGTAAGGTTGCACAGAATAGTCTGCTGATTGTTATGCACTTTGTGGCTAATTTTTTATATCATAAAGTATTAAAATTCAAATGATTTGTCAAAAAATATTTCATTTTTTTTTTCTTCTCTCGATTAATAAGAAAGAATACGGTGGGTGAGCAAAAATGGCAAAACAGATGAAATAATGACTTTCATAATATGTATATATAAAAACTAATGAGAAATTTTAAACGTAGATTGCATTCGTCTGATTATTCTCATTGCCGTCCAGAGTAATCTTGTAATCTGCTTCGTCGTCAAAAAATCGTCTAAATGTGAATTCAAAGAAACCATGATGCCATGGCTTACTGCTGTCAATTAATTCATTTCCAAATGAGTCCTCGCTTGTGCTATCTCTCAGCTTGTCTGGATCAATGGGGTCAAAATTAGATGTGTCCATTGCATGTACTATTTTCGGTTCAAATGGCGCTTGTTGACTTCTCAATTCCTTGGTCCAGTCAATTTGTTTCAAAAACGGATGATTCTTGATTTCATCAACATTCTTGCCAAGTCGCTCATCTTCATTACGACATAGTCGTAAAATAATATCAGATGATTCATTACTAAGTTTTGCTTGCGGTGGAATCTTTAGTGTTTGCCTCCAATGTATGACCTATTCATTGATTGAGAAAAAAATAAAAAATCAATAAAGATTTGATTGATTATAAGCCATCATATATCATACTTTATATTGTGTTTCTTCCGCTGTGTTTGCCAAGAACGGTGGTTGGCCAACTAACATCTCATAGAGGATAACACCTACACTCCACCAATCACAGAGTTGTGTATAACCACTTCTTAATAAAACTTCCGGTGCTATAAGAAATCAATAGTAAGTTTATTGTGTCTATCAAGTAAATCTTTATAAGACTTACCTATATAGTTGGGGGTACCGACGATCGAATGAGCTTTAGCACGGTTTTTCTCTCGGAACTTCCTCCTATTGTGATTAAAAGTTTCATTATTAAACTAATCTTAATTATATTAAGCTTTGCATACCTTTCTAAGGGTGGTGGTATTTGCATATCTGAAATTCCATTTTTATTCCAAGCTTCCATCGAGTCTTGTCGACCATGATCACCTGTGAAGAGAGATAATAATGTATCGATGTTCCTATTTTCATGATAATAGTAAGTTTGATTACCATTTTTCTGATAGTATTTCGAGTCGTGTGTCCATCGAAAGCCTGTACATAATCCAAAGTCTGTTAATTTAATATGTCCCTTCCTATCAATTAGTATATTGTCTGGTTTAATATCTCTGTGGAATAGATAAAGGCAATTATTAATTTGCAGGAAGAGTGATGATGATTATGATGAGGTACCTATGAATAAAACCCATTTTATGAACGCTATCAATGGCACAGGTAAGTTCGGCTATATAAAATCTAGCAAGTTCCTCCTCGAAGATTCCCTTTTTGATTAACAACGACATTAAGTCTCCACCTATGGTAAAGTGAGTATGCAAATGAATCAGTAACAGAAGTATCAAGTAAAATTGAATTAAATTACCAGGAATATAATCCATAACAAAGTACAAATTATCCTTATCTTGAAAGCTGTAATATAGTTTGACAACCCATTCATTATCAGCCTCTGCTAAAATATCTCTCTCAGCTTTAACGTGTGCAACTTGATTACGCTTCAACACATCTGCCTTCCGAAGTGTCTTCATGGCATATAAATGATTTGGTGTATCAATCTTTTGCACTAAATTCACTTCGCCAAATGCACCTACGCCAATTGGCTTTATTTTAACAAACATCGATTTATCCATTTTAGCACGTTTCAATCGAATGTAATTTGATTCTTTTTGATTTAAAAGCTTTCTCATTTCGATTTTTGTCTCATCTGGCATTTTCATTTTGGCCATTTCACGTTCCAATTGATGCCGTCGATAAAGTCTTTGCTTATGTGACTTAAGGACGTTCTCAACGTGTTGCTCCATGAAGAATTTATAGGCTTGTGGTGAATAATGCCGTACTTTACACTCAAATCTCTCCTCCTCTTTCTCTTTACTTAAATTCTTTCGCTCCGGTATTGGTGATTGATGCTTAATCTTACGAAGTGAATTCATTTCACTACCTGGATTTGATTCATTCGCACTATTCGTACTGCTATTACTTCCATTTATACTTAAAGTGTTGTTTGCACTTGGACCTGATGTCGTTTTGTGCAACGTACTTTGAAGATTTTTAGCAGACTTCGGTAGTGGTGGTGTTGTCAATAAATTATTATTATTAATTCCGGTATTTCCGCTTGTCGTCATGTTATTGCTATTTGATAGAATCTCAGATGAACTTGATGATGTGAAATTATTATTATTATTATTACTACAATTATTATTACTATTATTATTATTATTATTATTATTTGAGTAAGGTGGCGGTGGATTTCTAGAAGTAGGATTTCCAAGTGTAGGTCCTTGTTGTTGCTGTTGTTGAACCATAGGCTGTTGAGCCCTTAAAGCCATCATAGTCGTAGCATAGGAAGGCGGTTCAGCATTATGAATAGTTGGTGAGTTGTTTCCACTCGTTCCTCCATTATTGCTACTATTTGATGCCGTTAGTCCAGGCGTTGATGGAGGTGTAAGTGATTTTGTACTACTTCCAGAACTAGCAACGATTATTGGAGGTGTTTGAGGGGGTGTGTGAAGTGTGGCCTGTTTTTGTTGCCATGATGTAGCATATGATGGTGGTGCTTGTGGCAATGAATTTGGAGTAGCTGAATTGGGTGCTGAAGGGGCTACGGCAGTTTGAAGAATTGGTTTTTGAACTTGCGTTGACTTTACAGAATGCATAATAATTGGATGCTGAGTTTTAGCGTTCCGCGATGATGTCCAGGTTGCAGGTAAAGGTATAGGTCGTGAGATGGACGAATGATTTGCAGATCCTTGAGACACAGTTATTGGACTTGGAGAGCTTGCTGAGCCAACAGATGTTCCTGAATAAATTCCAGAACTAGGACTCTTTCGGTAGTCTTGTGTTGGACTTTGTCGACTATGAATTGAAGCTGTATAACTTGGCGGTGCCATTGGTGTAAGGGGATTTATTGGATAAGGTGGGGGTGGTTCTGTTATTGAAGTTCCATTTTGATAAAGCGATAATGCTTGAAGTTGTTGTTGTGGCGTGGCCGGAGTTCTTCCTTGTACAAGCATTCCTTGCCTTAAATTTCCATTTGTTTGGACAGGTGATGCTGGACTTTGTGATTGAATTCCATTCCGACTTGAAGGAGCTGTTGCCGGTGACATTCTTTGTTTCATCAATTGCTGATGAAATGGTGATGGTGTTGCATTAGTTCTAGGCGGAACCGGAGGAATTTCATTATAGCTAGAATGTGATGGACATGGCGATGGGGAATATGGTGCAGTTGTACTTGTAGCTCTGCTACTATTTCCATGTAATTGTTGATTAGAATGTGGACTATCCGAGCGACTTCCAGCGCCCGATGTATTTGAGTCTAATGCCGGACTATTTCTTGGCAAATGAAGATTTGATGTCTGTATTTCACGTTCAATACTAGGTTTACGATTTAATTTTGGTGCTAATGCAGGTCCCTAAAAAATATTAATGATTTAATTACTATCAATTTTCAATTTTTGGGTTTATCTCCTTACTTTTGAATTTGCTAAATGCTGTTCAGTTTGTTTTAATAATTCAGCAATTACTTCAGGACGTCCATTTGGGAGTTTCAATCTATGTACATCCTGAAGATGGGAAAGAATAAATTGTTATTGAATTTTTTGGGTCCAAATTAATCAAATCGATAAATTGACTTTTGTAAACGGTTTACATGACATCGAAATTCCAAGGAAGCTCAGTATTAATTAAAATCAATGCTTCTGTTTACAATGCATTCATAAAACTAGCATAAAAGACTTCCAAAAGTGGTATATTGAGTCATATCAATTGTCTCGGTTAAAGTGTTCAAATATAAACTTGACGATATCTTTGTTCATAACTTGAACATTCAAATGGAAATTAAATATTTTTTTTCATTTTTAATTGCACTTTATTGCATTTATTGACGACATACTGTCCGGTAATAATTCACATTTTACACTTTTGTATTTGTCAAACTTCTAATCTTCAAATCTAGGTTTCAAATAAACTAAGGCTCTCGTTTCGATCTTCTCTAGGCGTGACGTGATACTTTTCAGGTCCGTTTTAACAATATTCTATTCGTGCGTAATCTTGTAGCTCTCGTTCCTTTTTCTCCCCCTACACTTCAAGTTCCTGACCCGTTCCTTAATCCAACGTTGCCCAAATGCCCAATTATGGCCTGATCTCCTACATTAAGCAGTCGAAGTATCTAAACTTCCGAAAAAGAATAAATTTGGAAATGCCTGGATTCGAACCGACGTTACCATCCCAAATTTGAGCCAAGCGCCTTACCTATTCGACCAGCAAAGCACTTAACTGCTCAAATAAGAATATAAACAAATGATAATAAACAGCTTGACAAAGCACAATGAAATTATTCAATGGTGTCTAATTGTCAACATGCAGTTAGAATTGATAGCGGATATTCGCCAGACTTATTGGAATCAGATTGTTTTTTGTTGCAAAGTGTAAATTTTTGGTTTTCTGCATTATTCGGACAATTTTAGGTAGTCTTTCAGTACCTATAGAGTATACAGTAATTTTTATCAGTGCTGCACACTTAATCTTGATCTCGAGCTGGGTAAGCATAATAAGAAGTATTCTTAAAAATTAAAATTTATACTAATCATCATTTGTGAAACCTTTTAAATTGAATTTAATTCTTCATGAATCCCAAAATTTACAAAATAAATTATTCGACAAGGAAATTGAATTGGATAACTAATGGACCAAAATAAATTTTATTGGTGACTCAATTGTCATACATTGTATATTGTACTTTTAAAGCATTTAAATATTTTCACGTATTACATGTCAACATCTTAAAATGGAATTTATATTTTAAAGATTTTAGCAACAACTCGTCTCAATGCCATAGAAGATTTATCATATGTAGTTGAAGAAAAAAAAACAATGTTGATTCCAAAAATGTCTATGACATTAAAAGCAAAATACTCACATAAACATCAAAGTAAATGTCGTAAAATCTTATTGGTATGGAAAGGATTGGCGGAAAAAAATTATAATTCCTGTTAAAATTCTCTTTGGTCATCCGCCGTCCAATAATTATTTGTTATTTCATCAAAACATATATAGGAGACACAGCAATAAGAAGAAGACGAAGTGTGAAATTTTTAATCTACTTACAAATTTTAAAAGAAGAAGCACATGAGTTGCCAAACATTTTTTTTTCAAGAGCAATTTTTTGTTTATTTTTTTTTCGAATAAATTTCAAGAAATATAAGAAAAAAATCAAGTTTTGAAACTAAAATAATTCGCGTTGGAATTTTCTTGTGGAATCTCAAGTTAATATGTACAACAAAAGTTTGTATTGGTGCATTTCAATGTTTGATGATATACAAACACATTCGAAAATGAATTAAAATACATATAAATATATTGGAGGCAAGGAAGTCATGCAACGTTGCAAGATTGTGGATATCCATTTAGAATCATATGAAAATGTTTTAGTTTTTGTTTTTGATTTTGCGTGCAACCTTTTTTTTTGAAACAAAAAAAAGATTTTTTGGCTTTTACTAAAGTTACGCAGGAAAGCATGTGAATTCATACACGTTTAAAGCGACGCACTCAGGCAACGTGGAATTGTTTTGGTATGATAACAAAACCGGTTTATTAACACAATAAAGAAGTGAAAAGGAAAGAGAGGAAAGAAACATACAAAAATGCTTAAGGTCGGTCATTATGTTGAAAAAAAAAACACAATATTTTTATCACATTCCTGAATTCGTGAATCTTGCGCTGTTCATCATTATGTCAAACAAAACTAATTACAAATAACTCATCATGAGCTCTTTAAAAAAATACTCAAATTTCTGTTTCGCTCTCTTTACCGGATGAGTTACTGGCATTCTATTTGGGGATGTTCACAAATGATGGACCTGATTGACACCCTTTGCTAGAGTTCTAATTTTAAGAAGCAACCTTTAAGAAATTTTTTGGTTTGCAAAAGAATCTTAAGAAGTTTTAAAATCCAAATTGTCTCCTGACGTCAATTGTGAATCACCCAACATATAATATCTGTGGACATTTACTTTCTGTTTGACTTATAAACATTAAATTAATGCTGCATGATGAACTATGTACCATTTTCTAATCGACACCAGTGAGAATTATTTTTCATTAATTTAGTTTTGAAACAACAGATAATAAATCAGCTGTTCCAACAAAAATAAAATAATCTAGCTGTTCTAGCCAGCCACAAGGACAGCATTTACGTAAATGTTTTTTTTTTGTTTTGACAGTTATGTGCGTGGAACTTGTTCTTATCACGATAATTTGCGTAATATTATAACAAGTTGTAGTTTGAACATAATTGCAAACGGAAATGATGTTGCTTTTACCACTTGTTATATGATTATGCCAACAGCATCAGTTAAAGGTATAAAAAAAGAGCAGCACAATAAAAAAGAATCATCAAAACCGTTAAAATTATTGATTAAAATAGAATCGAGTTATTCACACAGGGATGTGACTATCGTGCTCTGTACTAATTTATGCATATTATGATTATAATAATTTTTATATTTGCAGCGTGTAACGCATTAAGTCATTCATTTGATAGGAGCATTCACTTTATGCAACATTCATTAAATGAGGCATGGAGGGAAAGAAGGAAAGAACAAAAAAATGAGCAAGAAGCATTTTTATGAAGAACCTTCGAAGGTCATGTCTATCATACACACATTATTCTTTTCCTTCTCTTGATCGTCATATAATAAAAGTAAAGAAGAATATGAAATAATAATAAAAAAAAATATGAAAAGCAATTTGACTCAAAGGTACAAATTATTAAAGAATTCTTTCTTTCCAAGATATTTCTTGAAGCAACTGATTCTTTGCTGATTCCTTTCAACTTTACGTTTCTCTCTCTCTCTTTTTCTCGATCATACAATAATATAATATTTTTTGTGTGCTTATTGCCTTTACTTTGCTCGTTTGCTCCATGCAGACGACCTTGATTTGTGTTTTGATTTTTTTTATGAAGAAGTGAGAAAAGGCTAATTTTTGAGATGACATGTCCTCAAAAGCAGTAGCATTGTTCGGTTTGGGAATATCCAAAAATTTGTCTACAATCTGGTCAAATGTTTAATGAAGTTCGTGTGAATCTTGGACATATCGACAACATTCTATGTAATAAATAATCTCAAAAAGAGAGATTCAGATGATATGTTGGTCATCAATTCAGCAACAGGGCTTAAAGAAGTTGAACTTAGAGTATTTGTGAGTATTGACTAGCTTAAAACCCTGAAAACCCTTTTACAGATCAGAACTCTAATCATCAATATCATTCTTGACTTAAAAAAAGTTTTTTTTTTCGTTTCAGTTCCTCAACCAAAATCAATTGGATGGATTTTGAACCTTCATGAAAAATCAAAAAATTGGTGACTGACATAAAGAATGTAACCTTAAACTTTCAAATGTTGACAAAAATAACTAGCAAATGAGTTCCTTTCATAATATCAAGCACAGATGCTTTTTATCGCGTTAATCTATCTAAACAAAACAAAAACATAGATTCCATCATAAGCCTATCATTATTACTCCAATTTCACTACTACTGGTTATTCTTCCTTGTGTCTCAAAAAAACAAAATACAAAATTTAAACTCCCAAAGATGAAATACGAATTGAATGAGTCGAGTAAGAAGAAAGAATAAAGATTGAAGAAGAAAGAAGAGAATAAACACAAAAAAAGGAGAAATAAGACCAGGTGTGCAAAATATGTATACACAAAATATTCTTTTCTTCACATCCACTTGCTACAAAAATAGTTGGATTTCATTGCGTTTCAGGATTTTTTTTTTATTCTTTCACATTCAATTCTTTTTATTTCCATCTTTTTATTCCAATCGTTACTTTTTCTATATATGCCAAATAAAATTCCTTTAGATAAAATATTTGAGGAGAAGTTGAAGTAAAAAAAAAAATGTAAAATGGAAAGAAACCGAGAGAGGGAAAAAGAAACTTGAAAAATGCTATTTTCGTAGGCGTTTTTAAAACTTATATGTATGGCCACATTTTTTCAAGAAAAAAAAAATCGAGTTAAGCTGTCAGGCTCATGATAATTTGTATAATTATTCGCTTCGAATTCATGCACGTTATAATTTTTCATTATTCCCTAAATGGTCATTTTTGAGATGTTGCCAAAAAATAAAATAAATTTTTTATGTCGTCGAGTTAGTCGGAAACAGAAGGAATTAAATGTTGAAGAGGTTAAGCATAAAAATGACTCAAGCGCTTTTTTTTGGTTTACTGGACTTGTATTAATTCTATAGATAGCTTAAATCGCGATTGGATGTACATTTAAGAAGGTGCTAATCTAGCTTGTAATGAAAAACGGACTTAATTGTCATCAATTCACCTAGGTATAGGTGCCTAGCCAAGAGGGTCTTGTCTCTTCCTTAAACGTTTTGAACCGCACCGAGACCACGACTTAAAACGCTTAAGAGGGAGACAATACCCTCCTGGCTACGTGCCTGCCTAGGTACAAAAGCTAGACAAAAACCCACAATAATGAAGATGATAACTCGCACGAAAAAACTTCTTGATTTAAAATTCATAATAAAACTGATAAAATTAATATTTATTAATATGACACGGCGATGCCTATAGTGGTCCTATAAAATTAATAATCCACCTACTCGTGACTAATAAGTGGAATGTTCAGATTATCAGAATATTAATAAAATAAATAAATTAAGTAAAATATTCGATTTTTAAAATAAAAAGTCAAACAATCATTTGGGCACAAAGGGGACGTTCACTTATGACGTCCAGGGGGGGGGGGGGGAGGGGGGGTTCAGCAAGAAAAGAACAACAGAAATTCCTGGAAATCTATTGTTCGTTTTTAAAAAATGACCGTTAATTGCGAACGTCATAAGTGAAAGGCCCCAAATATGTTGTTTTAAATATATTTTTGACGCAACCCAAAACTATACCTCATAAAAAAGTCATGAAAAAATCCACAAACAAATTATAATTTTTCTGTTTTGTCAAACAAATCTCCATTGACGTTGCCGTGATGTTCAGTCATTGCTGTGATGTCAACTCGTAGTAAAAAAATGAAATTCAATGCCGCCAAAAAAATGTATTAAATATATAAAGCAATAATCTTCACACATATATGAGACTGTCGTAGATATATTTAACAATACATTCGAGTGCCTTGAATGAATGAATTTATTTTGCAAGAGACTTTTTAAAAACAAAAACACAGAAATTCCACATATTTTAAAAAAGTTTCATAATGTTATCAATATCACTACAAATGCATTCACATAGTACGATGCATTACAATGTGTTACACATATATGAGAGAGAGTGAGTAAGAGGAATGACAACAAAGCACGTGTTTTGATTTTTATTTTTTAGCCTCCTTCATTCAAAAAAAAAGTAGATACTTTTATGACAACTCTTTATGATTTACGATTGCAATAAACAAGAGTGAATGTAGATTGCGAGACACACAGTAGCAATTTCATTTTATATGTCTTTACAATCTTTAAAGATAATCGTCGTCGACATCTCTCGCTCTCTATGACTGCGGTTGTCTTTAATTATTGAAATAATTAATTCAAATGTGGAAGTTTTACAGACCTTGAATTAATTCATCAAATTTGTTTGTGTTTTGATGGAATTAAGGTAAAAATTGAGATGTTTGATGACTTTCTATTGTTGTTTGTGGATTTATTGGACTCAAATTAGATAACTGGATGGATTTGATTACTTTTTTCAAAAACTAGTAACAACTTTGAATCCATTAAAAAGCTACTCAAGGTTTCTCAAAGAAAACTCTTACAATTAAAGCTACTCCTCGAAAAGAGCTACTGTAAGTCATTCTAATTTGATTCATTGAATATTATAGCCTTTATTGTGAGATATTCATTGTAAGGTTTGCTTATTGAATTTAACTAAAGAGCTATTCGAGCATCTTTTTCATTTTTACATGTAATTATTGCTTCATCAATAACACTTTTATCTTCATCAAGGAGATGGTTATAATTTATCGGCATTAACACCCACGACCGAAGACTATACATGGTAAGCTACAAAGGAAATTTCTCATATAGGATTAAGTAAATATTTTTCATGGAGAATCGATTGATTAATCAATAGCTTTTAGCGCGCTTACTTAATAAGAAGAGATTTGAAGTATTTTCGAAAACATGACCCTAAATTACGATTAAACTTCACCATCCAGTGACACTCACAAGTTTTGAATAAAATATTTAAATTTCCTTTGTTCAAAATCTTATAAGAAAAGCTATATGCAGTCAAGTAATCCGTTTACAAAGTCATTCATTACTAAATTCAGATCAATAACACATTTTACTCTTTTAGAGACAAAAGGGAAGGCAAATGAACTTACATCAAATCCAACTTGAGTGAGCATTTGACGGATGAAAAGAACATCGCGCTCGACATTTGATTGCTGTAAAATGAAACCATGAATGATTTTATTTCCTCAACTAGAAGAAATCCTCAAAAAAAAAGGTTTTTACCTGTTGTTGATTTTGTGGTGGTTGGGGTGACTGCTGTCCTGTCGAAGTTTCTCCTGAATTGGCAAATTGTGACAATTCGTTTCTTATCATTGCCATTGCATTTGCATTGTAGGCGGAGTGTCTCGCCGACGAAGGCGTTTTTCCACCTGAAGAGTTCATCGCTGATGTTGACTATAATGTGGGTCATATCACGGACAACTCCGATCAGAAATAATAAGGCACAGCTTTGTTTAATAATAATTTGAAAATTAGGAGAAATCTCCTTAAATCTTCACTTTTTCACTTCCTTTCCTTTTATGCACTCTATTCACTATTGGATATTTGTTAAATTATTTTTTAACGATTTACTTTCTTTGTTTTATTTATCCATAATTTCACTATATCGTATTGATTAATTGCACCAAACAACGAAGAAAGAACATAAATTTTATGATAATATTTCTTTGAACCTTAATGTTGTTATATATCTTGTCAATATACAAATGTGGTCTTGCATTTCCTTTATTGCTTTTTAACGTTTTCTACTGTTTTTATTGTTATTAGTATTTCAGTTCACCTCACATGATTCATGACTAAAATATGAATCAATGCAATAATACACTATTTCAACTGTATTGCTTAATGCTCTTTTTCTCTCTCACACAATATGCTAGCATAACAAAGAACGACGTAGCTCTCTAGACTATGATTTTGAGGAATTTCTTTTATGTTAATTGTAATCACTTTTCGGCACTTATTAGAACTTTTTATTGCCCCATTCTATTCACATTATTTTTCTTTCTTTTATTTTTATGATAATGACCGGTAAATTGAAGATTCTTTTCTTGAATTATAATTCACATCCAATTAATCACTTCTTTTTTCACAAAATTATTTTTTTTAAAGGTTTTCTTAATCATCCATCAATTGCTAATTTTTTCATCATTCCATTCTCTTAGCTGAGTGTGACATGACATAAGAATTGTCTTCTTTTTAGTCGTCGGTATCATCATTCAATTTTCTAGTATTTTATTCTCTTCCTTCTTCATGATTATACAAGTAAGATGTGTAAGAGAGAGCGAGAGTGACGAAGATGGAGATAGAAGGATGGAGGGAGAGAGAAGAAGTAAGAATATAACAAAAGAGATATTTTTACATTTCGCACTCTTTATATTGTTTTATGATTACACTTCTTTTCTTCTCTTTATTCCCTCTTCTTCTTTTGTTGTTTTGTATTATGTCGATGATCATGAAGACTCTACGGGGCAACAAAATATAATAATAAAGTTTGTTTAATTCTTTTGCCTTCTTTGTATATGACTCGCGCTTGATGACACTTAATATCGCAAAAATATTTTATTTTTTTTTTTGTATTTATTTATTTTACTCCTCACTCACGTATGTGTATATTATTTGATTGGATGTTTGTTATACTTGAATGTTGTTCTATAAAGAGAATAAAGAAACAAAACAAAAATTGAAATATTAGTTAAGAATCAATATTATGAAACATGATGAGATGAAATGAAGGAAATATTTATATCAACATCAGTATACATTTGAACTCTCAAACACATAGCTGATATAATCAACAAGGGAAATTATAAACAAGAATCGCTAACGAGAACTTCCATAAAGAAGGTTTCCAAATGATTGTGATCAGTCATTTTCAAGAAATGCATTTATTTATAAACTATGTTCGAATTATTTTTCTGATCTCAAAGGTTATTAGGATCAGTATAATTTTTTCACAGCTGATAAGTTTTTATAAGGCAGTTTCAGTATTTGGAAGATTCATGAAACTTTACAGAAACCAAGTAAAAACACAAATGAGTGCAATTCTTGCTGAGGAATGCAAAGGACCTAGGTTCGAGCTTTGCATATCGAGATTTTATCAAAAGATAAAGCTTCTTGTTTTATCGAAAATATTTATTTCAGGTGCATAGCCAGTGGTTGGAGATTTAGAGGACAATTCCCTCGAAGTTATCAGAAACTGCTATCTCCTATCTTTGCCCCTCCCAATCTAAAATGTTCCCAAACGAAAATTTTTTTGCACCAACCCCCCCCTTCTTTTCGGAAGTTTAGATACTTCGACTGCTTAATGTAGGAGATCAAGCCATAATTGGGCATTTGGGCAACGTTGGATTAAGGAACGGGTCAGGAACTTGAAGTGTAGCGGGAGAAATAGGAACGAGAGCTACAAGATTACCCACGAATGGAATATTGTTAGAACGGACCTGAAAAGTATCACGTCACGCCTACAGAATATCGAAACGAGAGCCTTAGTTTATTTGAAACCTAGAATTGAAGATTAGAAGTTTGATCATATGTACACAAATACAAAAGTGCAAAATGTGAATTATTTATGGACAGTATGTCGTCAATAAATGCAATAAAGTGCAATTAAAATGAAAAAAAAAAGATGAATAATCTTTAAGATTACTCATAAAAATTGTCAAAATAGTTCCAACGAACCTAATTCTCTTAAATAAAATATTTTAGATACGCAGAAAATTCTCTCAAAAGCTTCGAGTTCACAAGAACATATATGACAAATTTTCAAGAAGAAGTTATGAGCAATTTTAAAGTATTCCAGTCATTATGTATACAATTTGTGGAATAAATAAATATTTGCATATTGACTTTAAAGAACGATATTTGAAAAGTTTAAGTAGCAGTAAATAGATTTCTATCGTTCATCCACAGACACACATTTATTTTATTTCATCACATGGAATATTTCTTGAACTTTTTTTTTTTTATTTTTACCCGTGACTTCTTATTATTTAACTTTTTTTTTCGTTGTTTTAGGAAAGAAAAAAAAAAAAATTAAAAATAAAATTCATCACATTAATTTCAGAAGAATTCCCGTTTATTGCAGAAAAAAAAGACAAGATTTGAAGCAGTCAACGAATGGGAAGAGAAAGAAGAGAAGAATATATACACAACCTGCCTTATCTTCATATTTATTCAACTCTTCTTCACAAATGAGACAGAGCAAAAAACCAAAAAAGAATGTGAGTAGAGATATCGTATATACTTTTTAATATCTCTCTCATACATTAGATCTTTAAATTTTTTTTTGAATGATAATTTTCGGCATGATGAAATTTTTATATAATTTTAGCACAGCTGCTTACTTATGCAAGATTTGATAATTGATGAAATTTACACTTTGACTTTAGCAATCAATTTTATAAAATTCTTGATTGATAAATCATTAAACGACATTCCATTGATATCTGAAATTACATTTGGTATATGTACGTGAGTAACGTGATGAATCATTAAGGGTGTAATAGGAACTTTTCTAAATGGGGTGATTTGAATCTTTTTTAGCAAATTAATCATGAATCCGGGACTACTTGAAGTACTGAACTCTTAGGTATGAATAATATTTAACTGTTATTAGAGTAGTCTGCCATGGTAGCCCTACAAACCAACTTTAAACCTTTTGAATCGATTTTAAAGTAAATGTATTGAAACAGATCCGAATGGTACAAGTCTGTTAATCGATTAGAAATCCGGCACTAAGCAGGTGTTACTCTTGCATGGTGCTAGATATAAATCGAAACCAGATCCATGCCAGTGTTTCTATTCGATTAATCAACTTGTGCTATTCTGGAGATTTCTGGAAGTTTGTCACAAGCAGTCAAGATTTAAAAATATTGTTTTGGAAGCATCTAGCTAAATGATATTGGAGAAAACATTTGTATGTCTCCAAAAATGGCAAAAAATAAATTTTCTAGAATCTTTTACATTATCCCACTTTAATGGACTCTCGGAATTTGAGATCTTGCTATAAATTTTTGCACGTTTCTCAAAATTGAATAAAAATAATAAAGATGATAAATTTTATATTAATGATGCATTTGCCTTTTACGATCATCAGTATATGAAGCTCTATCTGGTTTGTATGTTGCAATAATTCTCAAAGTTATTCTATTGAATGCGAAAATCATGTCTCAGATTGAAGATTACAAAGAGATGAACGAACTAGTAAGTTAATAGCTAAATACTATATTTATACCCAAAAACATTTTTATTAAATGCGCTAAAAACTACGTGTGGAGAAGACAACACTTCAGTCTACTTCCATTTAAAACGGGTTTCTTCTCAATCTCTTTATGTGCATTAATATTCTTCTACTCAAAAAAAAAAATCTTTTTTGGCATTCTTTTTCAAGGAAAAATCGCACGAGTTTGTTTATATTCGGAATTTTCAAATTTTGACTTCTCAGCTATTCTTTCTTCTGTTCAAAATTCATTTTTAATTGCCACTCATTTACATTCTTTTGGGAAGTCTATTTATTACTCTGACTCTTTCTCTATTAAGCAATCCTTTTAAAGTCACAATCATAGTTCATTGATGATAAAAGAATCACAACAACGTGAGTCGTGCAAGAGTCACACACATGTTTGATATTTGTTGATTGATGAGCAGTAAGAAGAATCTAGCGAAATTTTCTCGTGTCGAGAGCAAAAATCACACAGAGTAACGAAAGAAAAAGGAGATATACCTATATATATTTTCACAGTTGTTTAGATGTTTAAATATTTTGCACATTTCGCCTCACATGCCATATTGAAGCGGTGTCTTTACGGCATATTTTCCTTAGCGCATTGCAATTCTTTTTGTAAATATTTGATTAAGCTTATTTTTATTTCAGATGTTACTGCAGTTCATTTACTGTTTGTTATCTCTGGATATTTCAATTATCAATAAGTTTTCTTATACGGGTATGGTTAAAATATAAATTTTGTGCTCGGACTGAAGGGAGGAATTTCCCAAAACTACTGTGTTAAGACTCGTAAAATCTTTTTTATTAGGTCTTTGCCATATTTTAGACAAAGAAAAGTTAAGATGTTAATAGATTTTTGTTGAAAAAATGGAAAAATTTTGAGAAAAACTTTTTGAAGTGGAGAAAATTTACCACCATTTTGTTTTTTATTTGCCGAGCTGTTCAAATTTTTTAAAACAGTTGAATTTTTTTGAAAATTGAACAAGGTTCCACTTTTTTCCTAATGAACGTAGATATGAAATGAACCCAACGCTTAAGCAGCAGAAATGTCAGTTTCTCTTCTTCTTATGTCTTAAAGTATCGCCACTAATTTTTCTTCGCTTTCATTAAAGCCTCTTTTCTGCCGATTAATGTCACCCTAAAGAGTTATAATAATATCTTTTCTTTGTTCTCCTTTCATTTCATGTCAGTTAAGTTAGTCGGATCTAGCAGAATATAAATTCTTGAAATGTTTCCTTGATAAAAATGTCGGAGCATTAAAGAAGTATGAAATGCGTTAGATATTTAACATTTTTCACATAATTATAATTCAATTAATAACTGTGGCTTATGACATTCGAGCTCTAAAATGATACTTTTAAATGTGAAGCATAAAATATGAGAATCATTATCAACAATCGAATAACTTGTATTATTAAAATAAATTTATTGAAAACAAAGCTTTTTTTTTAAAAAAAACTACAAAAATAAATATTTGAAAAATGCGGAAGAATGTATAAAATGTATAAAAGATGATGACCATATTTAAAGACGTTCCTTTTCGAAAAAAAATGACTATTGTGTATATAAACTTATGTACATACATATATAAAGAAGCAAAAGATCTCATGATGCTCACATTTTTTTGTCAGATGAAGTTGAAGGAAAAAAAAATGAAAAAAGATGAGAAAAATTTTAATCCTATCAAGCACGCGTGTGTACATACTTGTGTGATAATCAAAGAATTTCAATAAAGAAAAATGTTTTCTCTGATCTTTTTAAGAGAAATAAAGACGATGTTGATGAATTTGTTAAAGAAGAAATTGAAATGAGATGGAAGGAGAAGAAGGAAGAAAAGTCAAATCTCTCACTTTGTCTGTGTCTCATCGATTAAAATCCATTTCTCTTTTTTTTTGCTTCTTGTCTCTATCTATCTTTAAAAGAATGTTTCATCTGCTTTTTTTCTTTCTCTTTCATTTTCGTTACAGGCTATAATATATGTAAAATATATATAGTAACATTAAGTGCACATTATACACATTGCAGTTATTGTATGAAAAAAGAGCGTGGGTAAAAAAGATCAGAAATCAATCAATCATAATGGAGTTTTATTTTCATTCAGCAAATTTTATAGCAGCAAAGGAATGTTGTCAGCTTTACGATATGAATTTGTAATATGCAAGACAAGAGAAGCTCAGTATAATTCAAATTTATAACAGAGGTCGAAGCGAACTTGGTTCGCCAAGTTCGCTTCGCTAAAAATTCAACTTGCCAAAGTCGAACTGTAGCGAGAAAAAATTTTTTCTATTCGCCTTAGCGAACCATAGCGAACTCAATTTTATTTTTTTCGCTTCAGCGAACTATTAGCGAACTTGATTTTTCAAAGTTCGCTATAGCGAACTATTGGCGAACTATAATTTTTTGCAATTTTGTATGAAATTACATACTTCACAAACGCAATCAGACATCTCTTTATATGAAGCCAAAAAAAAAATTTCTAGTTCGCCAATAGTTCGCTATAGCGAACTTTGAAAAATTAAGTTCGCTAATAGTTCGCTAAAGCGAAAATAATAAAATTGAGTTCGCTATAGTTCGCTAAGGCGAAAAGAAAAAAAAATTTTCTCGCTACAGGTCGACTTTAGCAAGTTGAATTTTTAGCGAAGCGAACTCGCTAAAAACTCGCTTCGCTATGCTCGCTTCGACCTCTGATTTATATTTATAAAATCTATCGACCTCTTCGCATTACACACTGACATTGTTAATGCCTGATTTTTTTTTTGTACGCAATTTTACGTGATATAATTCCTCGTTGCTTAACCTTATTCTTATTATTATTATTATTATTTGAAATATACATTTCTTTATGCATATTCACATTTCATTACATTTTGTCACATGAACACAAATATTTGCATGAAAAGAAAGAAAAATTTTACTTGCTAAATTGCACTTTTTGTAATTTTCTTTTTGTTCTTTATAACGCCGTTGTTGTTTGTCAATTTAATAAATGCAGTAAATTAAAGTTTGTTAAAAATGCATTAGCATTCCGTGCTTCTTTTAATCATGGAGGTCTACAGAAAAATGAATTAATCTTTTAATTAATTATGAGGGAGGAAGCTTGTGATTCATAATAAATGTGAGAGCTTGCATCAAACCCAAAGCGTGGAAACTCAAGATAAATCATGAAGAATCCCAAAAATCTTAAATTGATCCAGAAATTATTCATCAAATGCATCAGGGAATTACAAAAGATTTCATATTTTCATGTTTATTGGCTCAGGGTTTTTTTTTGGAATTTTTGATGTTTTTCAGGATTAATCCTGAGTTTCCACGTCTTGAGCATACCTTAATTTCAAAAAAAGAGCTGAACAAAGGTCAATTTTAGATCTAGTTCTTTGTGGATTTAAGAATATTAATATGCTAGTTTAAAGCGCTGATAGCTCGTCAAATGAGACTTCAATTAGAAACTAGTATTGAAAATACTAAGCTAGTAATTCCCAGCGGTTAAAGGACGAACTTAGTCAACACTTAAAAATGTTCAGCATAAGCTAAATCATTCGATGAGATAATGTTATTTTGAGTATAAAAGAAGCAAGCATTCAAAGCTACCCCATTAAAATATTTTGTGCAATCCAACACCTGCGTTTCTGACAATTAAATTCGATTAGCTGAATGAAGCAAGACGATTATGTTCGTTTGAACTGCATCAAAAAGAAATAAATTATAAAGGAAGGTAAACATGGGGATTTATTTGTTCTAAAATAAATTCATTTTTTAGCAAGAAAGAAATTAATTTTTTTCATTCGATTCTTTTTTTCATACACACATATGCGCGCCGATAATTGTAAATAAACAAAAATCATCTCTTCTCTCTGCAACCAAAAATCTAAAAATAAACTAAAGAATTTCGATTGGAATCTCACATTTTTTCTTCTTCATTTTTCTTACTCTTTATGAAGCATTCCTCATTTATTTTCAAATATATTTTCCTTCCTTTGCGTGCACAAGACTTGAGCAAGCAAAAAAAAAAACTTCCCTCCAGCAGAAAATTTTTTACTACATTTTTTTATTATTATCAAAACTATGTGTGATGTTTCTTGATGATCATGCCAGCAGAGTATCAAAGTACATACAAATATGTACCTCTTTTTTCCTCATCATCATCATCTTCATGAATAACTGAGACTGAATGTTGTGTATAAAAGTTTAAGTGTCTATAGGAAATTCCATTGGAATTTTTCTTTATTCTCTGGTGCAATTTTATTTTTTTTTGTTCACTCGTTCTTTCTTTCTTTCATTCCTTCATCTCTCTCGCTCAGCACTTCTTATTATCCTGAAGAAATTTTTCTTTTCTTCATTTCAAGATCAAATTTTTTCGATAGAAAGATTTTCCTAAGAAAAATTGCAATTACTTGCTAGCTATGAATGCTTGTCTTTTCACTATATGTATAAACGAAGTTTCTTTTTTATATTTAAAATAATTGCTGTGAGAATGTGTAGATTTCATTGGTATTTTGACTCTTTTTTTCGTGTATATGTAGATATACATTAATACATACTTTCGTGTATTGCAAAAGAAATATTTTGACTAACTTTATCGAAATTTTTATTTCTTGCCTCGATTCCACATAAAACATAAATTTTAAGTAAGTTGAGTCCATATGAAGATTCATTTTAAGGTAGCACTGTGTGAAAGATTAGATTAAGTGAGGATAAAGGAATCGTCGAAATAATTTAATCAAAATTTTAAGAATTATTTCTAGCAAGAACTTATTCTGGTGATGAATTGAAAATACTGATAAACAGTAGCTCCTCGTTCAGGAATAGAAACCAGGGTTATATTTTAAAGAAATCACTGTTGAAAAGGATTGATCTGTTTGTTTTGACTTTGTTAAAGCAATTCTTCTTCAAACTCTGAACAAAGTTTGTGTATTGATTCAGACTGATCCAATAAGTTACTAGGTTTATTAGGATTATTTCTTTAAATTTAGACTGCTTAATGACTCTACTATTAGAAATAGATGCTTCCACAATTCATTCCATCAATCAGAAGTTCTCATTGCATGTAAATAACTTTTCTTCGAATCGCAGAATTAATCAAAAGAAAGAATCTCGAAAGATTAATATTCGATAGTGCTACTGTCAGCAAATTAATTGTTACAATAACATTAATCGAATAGAATGATAAGGAATCACGTTGATGATGTTAAAAGATTATCACTAAAGGAATTTCCTCATTTCATATTATTTGCGATTTAAAACTCACCTTTTATTTAAATAATTTATTGAAATATGAACGAAAAAAAAAATATCCAAAAGAGCGTAGAGATTATTTAAATAAAAATATATATCCAAAATTGAGCACAAAAAATAAATTTTTTAACTTGCTGATTGCGTCTCTGTGATTTTTTTCTCTCTTTTTTTTCTTTAAAAAATATTTCACTTCTATTGACTTTTTTCTTTTATTATAAGAACACTTTCATAAATTCTTATCATTTCACTAAACATTCAAATTTTCTTGAAATTTTATGTAAAAAATCCATTTTCGGATGATTTATGAATCAAATATTAACTTTCTCACAGCAAAAAATTTCCTTATTTAAAAATCAAGAATAAAAGGCATTTAAAAAAATTTCCCATTTCACTTCACTTCAGTCGTCCATTCCAATTTTTTCTCACTTAATTTCATTAAATATTTCAACTTTTATTATATCCAGATATGAAATTTGTGTGCAAAAAATGTGTAGAAAGACAATGTTTACATTTTTTGTAGATTAGATCAATCCTTTCGATCCTTTTTTCAAATGTGAATTGGGTAACACATATAATAAAATTTTCTCTCTCGTCATTGAATCAAAAAATATTTTTTTTTTGTTGGATTAAGGCAATTTTTACAATTTTAATAATTTCACTAATGATATCAAGAAATTTTCGACTTTCTTTAACGCGACTAACATTTACGATATCGTTTAAACTAAGACAATTTGCTAAAGAGCAACTAAATTATTTAACAAAAAATAAAATAAAAATTGAGTTTAAGAAAAAAAATATAGTAAAAGTCTCGCGTTGAAATATAGCGCATAATACAGCACATAACATAAGCGCTGAATGTTGAACAAAGAAGCAAACGAAGTAAACGACCCCTTCGAATTCCAACGTTTCTGAACTTCCTCAATAATATTTATGTTTTGTACTGTCTAGATTTTTGTTTTTCTTAAAAGTTGAATCTACTAGTTAAGTCGTGTCAATTTTAAGAAAAATGAAATTTTTGTTTCAAAATAGGTTTTTTTAAATCCTTTCTACTAAAACATTACGGTTATAATCTGACTGGAAATAAGGCTAGAATAATTAAGTCATGCAATCAATGATTAGAGAGATTTATAAAAAAATAGTAAATTTAATTCGAGATCAAATCTCAAAATTTGAATTTTAAAAGTCAAAATTAAGTTCAAGACAAGTTTCCCAAAGATTATAATCTTTAAATATTCATATAGAAAGATTATAATCTTCAATAATCTTTGTATGAAAGATTATAATCTTCAATAATCTTTGTATGAAAGATTATAATCTTCAATAATCTTTGTTTGAAAGAATTACCAAAGATTACAATCTTTTCGTTTTTAAATAATTATAATCTGTGGGAGCCTCGATCCAAGAAAATAAAAACACGAAGAGAGAAGTTCATCATTAAAATTTATGGAATGAAAGTTAATATATTTGCTTTACATAGAATAAGAATATAACAATAAATATTTTCTTTTTCATTTGCTATCAATATATTCTGAATATTTTGGATTTCTCTTTTAATTTTTTTTTAAAGAATCAACTTAAAGTTCCTTCTTCTTTTGTTTTCACTCTGTTTAAATTCATAGAATACTCGTTTTCAATCTACATAAACATAAAATCACAGTTTTTTTATGCTTTTTAAATTGTATAAGCCGAATTATTATTTATAATATAATATATATCAGTAATCTCCTGTTATTTTCTAATATATTGAGCAAAATGATAAGAATTTAATAATAATAAAAAAAAATCTTGTACATAAAGAAAAAGTTTATGAAACGAATGTTGTAAAATATTTTAATGCAATAAGTATATTAAGGAATAACTTTGCTTTCAGCAGACAAAAAGACTTAAATGATGAGCTCGATGAATGATCTGTAGACGAGTATCTGTCAATACAGTAAAACATGTCTAAGACCTTAAAACATATTAACAAATGTGTATAGTATTGGAAAGCAGGAAGGAATAATTAGAATAGATTTTGTTTAGACGCGTCATTTTCAAAGTCTGAAAATGCATTATTCAATTCCATAAAGATTAATTTAGCTAAGTTCTCGTTATCGGTTCCAGCATGCTAAAAGAGAGACAGCAAAATTTCAAGTTTGCTTCTTTATATTCTATAAAAGTTTAAAATTACCTTGTCAGGATGAACAGCCAGACAACATCTCCTGTACGCTTTCTTTACATCATTTGCAGTCATGAGCGATGACATTTCACATTTTGTCCACTTTGCATTGTCCCATAATATCGTATCGACTGTACAAAGAAGAGCACGAACATTCCCTCTTTTTCCTTCAATCTATAAAAGAATAAAAAAAAGTTCAAAGCATGTCCAATAAAAATAAATGTATTAAACTTTTACCCATTCCATGACTTTTAGCTTTTCTGGGTCCATTGTTTGAACTAATTCAACTTTCCTCATTTCATTAATTGATCTCGGTCCTTGAGTCGTTTTCCCAAAACTATACCCTTGTTGTCCTAAAATATCGCCGAAAATATCACCAGATTGTGATGTTTTTTGTGATGCTTGTGCTTGAGTCGGTTCCTGAAAATGTGATCGACTATAATCGGGTCTCGATGGTTCATTATTAGGACTTTTCATTTGATGAATCGGAGTTGACGGATTGTTCCTTGGTGAAGCATTTGTAGACGAGTTTTGTGGAGTTGCTGAGAATGGATTACTTGCTGATTTACCGAATAATCCACCACCAAGTTGCGTCAGATCTGCGAATGGATCTTTTTTGACCTCTTCCTGCTTCTTTACATTATTTGTAGTGCCTTTATTTGGGAAAGAACTGCCAGCATTAAAATTAAGTCCATTTAAATCATTGCTTGATTTGCTTGGAACAATTGGTGGTGCCGATGATGAAGGTAAACTGCCAAAAATGTCATCTAAATTACCATTACTACCAGAATTAACAACAACAGGCCCAGTTGGCTTATTTAAAGCACTGCCAATAATATCTGGGAATGGGTCACTAAAATTTGTATCAAATCCACCCAACAAGTCAAAGCTTGGCTCCTTAACTTTTGGAACTTGTTTTGGTTGTTCAGGAGCTTTTGTGTCATTATTAAGATTCAAGAAATCAAATTCAACTATCGGTGGTTCCGATTTGTCATTAATTTTCGATTCAATGGGATTTCCTTCATCGCTATATGATTGCGTAAAGTCTTCTGACTTTGGAGGATCAGGCCTTTTGGGAGGTGATGGTCGTGGTGGGGGAACATGTGCATTTCCTGTGCTATTATTACTTGTTGGCTTCGTTACTAAAAATAATTAAAATGTCAATTATGCATGACCAATGAAAAAAGAAGAACAAGACAAAAACATACTGAAATTATCGACATTTTCTTCATATTCAAGTTGTGATGAGAACAAGAGTTTAGGATCACGTTGGCTCTGCTGATTTTGTGACAACCAAGGTGGTTGACTTACTGGAGCTCTATCATCATCGCCCACGAAAACGGACAGACTTAAATTAAAGTTATTTGGGACATGTTCAGCGTCTGGAATGTCGTCAAGTTCAGATCGATTAAAGGATAAAAGAGTTTCTTCTTCGGGAATGAAACCGCTATGAAATTGTAGCTGACAGATTTTTAAACTTTGTGGCTTTCCAATTCCTGCTATTGCATTTCTAGCATGATATAATGTAACAGTAATGTCTCCACATAAAGTAATATTTAAAGGAAGATTAGCTTTGCCTTCAGATGCATGGTATAAGCGCATTCTATCATATTCTTGTAAAGTGCTAATAGCGACACGATCATTAGCTGTAACTTCAATGTATAATCGACATCCATCTCGTGCTTTTGTCATTCTTGGAATTGGGCTAAAATTAATTGAAACTAATGTGATTGGCTTATTGTGTGGAAAATGGGAACGAATTATGTCAGCCATATAGTAAGAATATCTTAGTTCTGAAGGTCTCATATTTGGTGGAATTCGTTTGACTGCAAACATTTGCATTGCATCTTCTGGCTCACGAATTAATTGAGCATAAAGCATTAAAGCACACACCATAGTTGCAGAAATTCCTTTTCCATTGTCGGGACTTTGAACAATTATTACATTTTTGGGATCATTATTTAAGAATCCATACATATCTTCGGCTAATGCATACATATGAGATAATATTGGAGCTTTTGGGGGATTTGGAGCATAAATAAAGCCACATTCAACTGTTCTAATTGGTGGTTGAAGTCGTGCACATCGAGGACCAAGATTATAGATACTAACTTTAGATGGTTGATAACGCTGCTCAATAAACATTTTTATATCCTCAATATGATTTGTCTTGTATGCACTCTCGATTCCTTCACTCGGACAAGGCATAACAATAATTCTTTGCGTAATAAAGCTTATATCCATGTCTGTTTTTGTCATTGTTTGTTGAACAGTTTGCATGACCTTCGATGACGTGTCTTTAAGATTCTTCAAAAAACTTCCAGCACCGCCTTTAATAGACGAAAATAATCCACTTGAAGATGCTTGTGGTGCAGTTTGACTAATTTGAGGAGGTGGAGGAACCGCTGGTGGTTGCTGTCTTATTTGCTGCTGCTGAACTTGTGGAATAACAGGTATTGGAGGTGCTGGACGAACTGGTGGAGTGCTATTATTAGAACTTTGATTTCCATTATTAATTTCATGTGTTGGTGAATTTAAAGACTTTCCCTTTATGCCTAATTCTCCTTTAAGTGACCATCCTTTAGTTTCAGAAATTGCACCGAGACGTTCAAGGATGACATTCACGTCAAAACGATTACTTGGATCAACGACAAAACAGCCTTTGATAATATCATTAAAACATCCAAATCTCGAGTCATTTGGAATTGTATAATTTCCGTTGATAATTCCCAACTTTGCACCGTCCTCGAACGGATGTTTCTTATAACATAGACAAAATAAAATACAGCCTAATGCCCAAACATCTGTTTTGACACCAATTTGATAATTATTCCATGTATCAAGCTGTTCTGGTGCTCGATACATTGGCGTTGTAAATTTCTGAAGAAATTCCTCGAGATTATTTCTCTGTTGTGTTGTCCAAGTCAAATCTGGCGAATGACTTTCTAATGTAGACGAGCCAAAATCACACAACTTTAACATTCCATCACTTCCGATAAGGAAATTTTCTATTTTTATATCACGATGATTGATATTTTGTGAATGTAAATGTGCAACTGCCTTCGTGGCTTGATACATGACTTTGAGTACAATAGCTGGTTCTAAAGACTGATCAAGACAATCATATAAAGAACCTCCCTGACACAATTCCGTGACTAAGAGATATTCTGCACGCCCACTATTTTTCGTTCGATCGATAAATGATGCTGTTATAAATTTAACTATATTTATATGTCCAGATATTTGCTTATGTATGTTGATTTCTTTAATAATATTATTGCACTCATCCTTATCTGATCCAAATAGTCTTTTGAGTGCATACTCGTTTCCATTCTGTATGTCTTTTGCCACATAAACTATCGCAAAGCCACCTAAAAATGAATTAAGATAGACATAAAGTTATGTTTAGAATTATTCACTTAATCTGAATATAAAGGAGATAATTTCTTTTGTATTATACAAAGAGCAATTTTTGTGTTATACAGCTGTGTCTTATTGCTACATATTACTCATAATGCATGTAATTCAAGTGAAAATTAACTGTATCTTGTCTGTATCTTATAAAAATCTTTCAAAACACGATTTATGGCTATATTAAGCATACGCCTACACATTATATCCTTCTCATATATCCCTCTTGTCTCAAATTGCATGAAAAAACATGATTTTATGTGGGATTTACGCGAACGATAAGAAAATTTTTCTTTTGATTTCTCACCTTCTGCAATTTTTCTCATTATCTTTAATTTCATCGCTCCTACTTCCACAATTTGTCCAACAAAGTCATCATCTACTGATCCTGTATTGAAGTAATTCATTGTCTTTTTGAATAGATCCTCCATACTGTTTGAATTTAATTATTTTTATATTGAATCTGACAAATTTACAGCTCGTCTAAATTTACACTTTTCTCGTCTAAAATTTGAATTCTTGACGAACGTTATGTGTAATGTGGAGTCACTTGATTACAGCTAATAAAGTACAGCTGTAAGTGGTTTAACATCAAATTAGAACTGGGCTTAATTTTAAGAGTTATTAATTTCTGAGAAATATAAATGTTGAGTGATTGCTTAAATTTTGTTTATTTGTAATGTTAAAAGTACTTATTACGCATACTTGTTATTAAAATTGAATGGTCAACGTTGCATCATCAAACAAAATTTCGGTAAAAAGATTAGTTTATTGTCACTTCGCTGATAAAGGTTTTATAAAATATGAATTTTAACGATTTTAATGAATTCAAATTCAACAGTTTTGTTGTGACGAGTTTTCAAAAAATTCAAGGGGGGGGGGGGTCAGGTGGGGGATGGGGGATGGGGACAAGGTGGGTGTCGATATATTTTGTGAAGCCAATGATTTGAGGGGTGTTGACAAGGTGGGTGTCAGTTGGGGGGGGGGGGGGTCCGAATTTGAGAAGGTTTGTGGGAGAAAAGTTTGGTGTCAGGAATATTTTGTGAAGCCATATAAAATTTTGTGAAGCCATGTGAAGTTTTGTGAAGCCATGCGAAGCTTTGTGAAAAGACATGGTGGGTTTCGGGGGAATTAAAGTTTTAGTGGGATTAAGGGGGTCCGAGTTTGAGGGGGTTTGTGAAGACATTTATAAAATTTTTGTGGGATTGAGTCCGAGTTTGAGGAGGTTTGTAAAGCCATGTGAAGTTTTGTGAAGCTATTCATAAGGTTTTGCGGGATTGAGGAAGTTCGAGTTTGGGGGAGTTTGTGAAGCCATTTATAAAGTTTCAGTTGGATTAAGGGGGTTCGAGTTCGAGGGGGCTTGTGAAGCCATGTGAACATAATAGTAATCAAACTTTAACCCTGATAAGAGGCGTCACGGGCGTGTGGGATCCTAGTTCATTATATTATTATGTTAAAAACTAAGTATTAACAGCCACAATTTTTTTTAAAAAAAGAATCACTATCCCCCTGTTTAAAAGCAGTACATATTCCATTGGAAACTTTAGTAACAAAAAGAAAATCAAAAGAGCAAGATGAGACATGTAAAAATTCTTTCATTTTTCGTGTTATTCTTAATATTTAATATCATTAAGTCAGCACCAACGGGAGAGACAAAGTCATTATACAATGTCCTTAAAAGTGATAAACGATTCCAAAAGCTTTTTAAGGAAAAATTTGTCCTCGAATGTGAATCGAATCAACCAATTTGTACAGCACTAATTGATGTCACTTTACGATTCAATGAGGCACAAATTGACTTTGCAAACGATGAAATCCATCATGAAGAAGAGTTTTGCGAATCAAACTTCATCAATATGATTCCAGACACACCGACAGTCGAGGAAACATCATTGCTCATGAAATCATTCAATCTTACTTGGCTCAAGGACATCCTTAAGCAGAATGACGGTAAATTGTGTAGTGAACAATGCACGTACAAATCATTTGAAGATTACAGCAGTAAAGCAAAACCTGTTTGCTTCTTCATCTACGATCAGTACAAATTATTAGCTTCTAGAATCGACAGCACTAAAAATAGCAATAAGACAGTCGAAAAAAATGAATCGATAAGTGTTGAACATAATAAAGGTTCGTATCATGATTCGTGATTGATAAAAAATTTATTGTAAAATATTTATTTTTTTATTGACAGTCAATGACTCATCGGCACAATTGCCAGCAAAAGGAAATGTCATTTCAGAGGCTGGAACACTTGTTGACGTAGTTGCGGCAAAGAAACCTGTCTCGATGCAAAACATAACGGTAAATAAGACAGAATCAATGGCAGAACAAGTTCACGTTGAGGAACAAGTAAAGACAACATTAAACGAGACAAAAAATATCGATGAATTACCGGCACAAGTGACATCACCAATTGTTGTCACACAAGCAGGCAAAACAGAAACAGAACAAGTGAAAACAGACACAAAAACAGCAAATATCAATTTAGATGATGAACAGTCTGCATTGGCTGATAATGCAGTGTTTGATGAAAATCCAAGTACGGATAAGGAAGTAGAAACAAATTTAGATGTTGATGGTGGTGTCAATGGTGATGAAGACGATGATGAAATGTACCCAGTTGATTTTCCATTACGTGACAATAATCAAAATTCAAACAAGTTCCAACAAGAACAATTGACAGATGTTGAGCCACATGACAGCGATAGTCCACAACGTGTGCAGTCAGCACCGTTTGAGGAGGATCCAGATTCAAATTTCTTTACATACCTTTGTATTATTATGTTCCTAACAATCGTCCTCTACATCCTTTATCATAATCGTCACAAGATCCTTGCATTGCTTCTTGAGGGACGTCAAGGACGTAACTCAAGACGAGCTCGTTCACGAGGTGGCAGCAAAGCTGCTTATAGTAAATTAGACTGCAATTTAGAGGAAGCAATTACGAGTAAAAAGAGTCTGAGTGGCAAGTCAATGGATATAATTTATTAAGAGAATCTTTGATTTTTATTATTATTATCATCTAGTTCCGCTGCTCAAGCTTATGCAGTCTTATCTTTGATTCCTCTCCAAACTTTTCTTTTCTTTTTTAAGTTGTCAATGACTAAATTTTTGTAGCCTGTAAGGACTTAAGATTAACGCAAAAAAAGAGGGATATGAAGCAAAAAAAAAAAATTACGAGTGAATGTTATTGTGTACGTGATGCTGATGCAAATAAATTCTTTGAAAATTGAGTGATGTGAAATGTGGAATTGGATTATTTAGTGGTGAACATGGCAGATTTATGAGAAGTAATTTGTAGGATTTTGGTTATATACGTGATGATGGTCATTGTTAGTAAATTATGGATATGAAGTTGAACATGTTTAATAGACGGCATTAGAATCTCACAATGTTTAGTGACGGTGTTCATATTTTGGAGCTTATGTACGTAGTTTGCTTGTAAAAAATATATGATAATTTTTTGGTCGATGGAAAAGTCTGGAAAATTCTCAAAAATTAAAAACTGTGTCACTTTGGAATTAAAAACATGATGATGTATGCTGATTTATGACTGAAATAGAAGCTTTTATATATTAAAATTACAACACTCTTTGATAATAACTTCATGTTATAGTCAATTGTAGGCAATAATTGTAATTGTGCTTACGGGTCGTTCACTTATGACGTCCAACATTTATGGGGGGGGGGGGGGGTGGGAAGCGGGTCAAAAAATTTGTGACACATTTTGCCAGAGGAGGGAGGGGGTCAGGAAATTAAAAATTTTCCAAGGGGGGGGGGGGGATCGACATCTGTTACATGTCAACTGGCAGGGACGGATCAAAAATGAGTAAAGAGGGATTTGATTTTGATTTGACAAACCAAGATCCGCTTAGTTTCAAGCGCTTCTATCCCAAACCCCCCTCCCCTCTAAACCCACCAATTCCAATTTCATATCACTCAAAAAATTCTATTTCTACGCTAATAGTAAAATTCCATTCTATATTAAAAATAACAAAAAACAGTAAAAAAATCGCATAAAATGCTAAAAGTATTCGTTTTTATGAGGCAATGTTGGTTGGTGATCATTTTTTTACGGGTGTTGCGTCCATTTCACTTCACTTGCATCTTTCCCCGAAAAACCATGAGTAATAAATGAAACATGAAGATATAATATGAATAAAATTAAGAAAGAAAAAAAAATCCTAACGGCATAAAAATGAAATGTGATAGCCAGATGACTATTTTGTAGTCTCGTGTGTCTGCGATCGAGTTTTTGTGCCGTTGTGGTTTTGTAAAAAAAATAAAGATGAATTTGAGTGTCTTAATTTTTTCTTGTGAAATTAATGCAAATGAAATTATTATGTTGGATAATAAAATTCATTGATAAAAACTTTTTTGGCAATTCACCTTAAATATTTACCTCTAAATCTTTACTTTTATTTAAAGACAATATTTATTTTCATGAATACTAGGTATTGTTATTAAAACAACAGAAAATCCCTTAATCTGACCTATTCAAGCCTGAGATTGACTCTTATTGAATTATTGAATTTCAATAACATTCAATAAAAGTTTTTGCTTACCGAGAGAAATAAGACATGATTAAAATGATAGTAAGTTCATATAAATAGAGTTTCTAAAAACCTGAATTATTCAGTTGCAGTTTAAAATCAGAACAAGTTAAAAGATGAGATCTTCAAAACTTTTTACAACTTTTCTATCCATTTTCTGCATTTTAATTGCAGAATTTGGGTCTGGTAAGTAAAATGAATATTTTTTTTGAACTTACAAATCTATCTGATATTAAATTTTACAGTCCAGTCATGTTCAATTGATATGGAAGAAATAAGAAACAATGAACCAATCTTTTTAAAATTAAATCGCGATTTTGTAATTCCAAATGGAAAAATTATATCATTAAAAAATGGGGAAAGAATTCTGATTGATTGTGGTCAAGGTCGAACATTAAAAAATTCAAATTTTAACAATAAGCAGCAAATTGAAGCAGTCTGTAATGGTGGAACAGTGACTTATGGAGGACAATCTTTTGAACAACAGCCAAATTTAAATTGTACGGATAACAATTCAATTGTTCGAATTGAACGAACATTAGAATTATGTGGAGGAGATGGACGAATCTTTAGAATTGGATTTCATGTTATGAATAATGTTGGAACGCAAATGTTGGCACCAGTTCTTGAAGTATGTTTTGATGAAGGGAAAAAATCAATATTTTATGTAAAAAGTCATATTTACGGGACGGTAAATAGAAATGGTAAGTTTTTTTTTAAAATATAAAAGTCATTGTGGGTCCAATACTTTATTTTCATTATATTTTAAAGAGGCTGATGATTATGTAGATCCAAATATTAATAATGGACACTTTACAACTGGAGAAAGTGTCAAACCTGAATTTTTTGGAGTTACAAATCTTCAAGGTTCATATAAAGGTTTCGATCGTGGCCATTATGCACCAAATTCAGATTATCAGTTTGCTCCACATCGTAGATCAACATTCTTCTACTTTAATATGGGACCTATGGCTGCAAGTTTTAATAGAGGAAAGTGGAAAACAATAGAAAATTTAGCACGTAGAAATGCCAGGGGAGTAACTGCTGATATTTTAACTGGTGGATTTTATTATGATCCATCATCAAAAAGCTCGAAAAATCCATCATTACAATCAAAAGATGGAAAACTCGATTTGTTAAATAATAATAATGATTTGGTAAATGATCAACGCAGAACATTTGATGGTGCTGGAACTAGAGAGTTGGAATCAATTGTAATTCCCAATTTTTTTTGGAAAATTGTCAAAATTGGTTTAAATAAAATTGCATACGTAATGCCAACTGTAGACAATTTGGAGCTTCCAGCAGAATGTATGCAATATTGTACTGTAAACAATCAGAGGCACAGATATTATGAATGCAATGTTGCTGGATTTAAGAGCTGTACTAATATAATTAAAGGAAATTTTGTATGGCCAGCTGATTTTTAAACAACTCAATTACTTAATAAATCTTTATTTTAATGATTGTAGTTAGAATAAAAGAAAATAAAAATACAACTCGAGGAATTTCCAAGAATTTTTGTATACTTTATATTATTGAATTTATTTTTTTTTAACACAAATTAAACTTTGCACACCGATTTAATCGACTCAGTCATTACTTTAGTGCCTGTTATTGTATGCAAATGTAAACTTTCGCAATTAAGTTTCATTTAAATAAGTTGTTTTGATAAGGCATAAATGAAATGAAGAACAATAAAACATTTCATCTTTTTGCTTCACATGTGCTGGACGGAGGTGGATGGCTATAAATTTTAATGAAGCGTGAACTTCCAAAATTGAACTAGTTTAGATTAAAATAATACAAAGAAAAACATTTTTTAAATTCAAGAAGTCATCAACTATCAATGTCGGTAAAACTTCGTTTAATTTTAATGAAAGGTTAATTTAAAAATTAAATTTAAAAATTTCTATAATCTGAAAATAGTTTTCATTTAATTGCAATCATTAAAATTCATCGGTGCACAAAGTTTCAATAGAATCGTCTTAATATAGACGATCTTCGATTTCTGCATACATTTCCACCAGTTTGTTCTATAACATCGTGAATCCAGTCCAATGTTTGAGAAGAGGAAACTTTTGCAAATGCTTGAGCAACTCTTGGTGAACATCCAAAATCGCCAAATGAGGTTACACTAAATCGAAAATCAATTAATTGAAAGTTAAGAACTGCAATAATATTATGATAATATACCCTAAAATGATATGATGATTTCGACCAGAGTCAACAAAAAGTGGTCCTCCTATATAAAGTTCAAAATCAATAAATTTCTAATGCAAAAGTTTGAAATACCACAAAAAATACCAGAATCTCCCTAAAACGATAAATTAGAATAAAATAAAAACAAATTTTAATTTGAATTAAAGACAACTAACGAAACAAACGGATGTAAATTCCTTTTGAGCACACATCATAGCCTTTTCATTGAACTCAACATTCATTGCCATCAGTTTAGTTTTACAAATTTCATCTGGTAAAATACGAGTTTCCGTTTCCATAAGAAGCAAATTTTGCGTTACTGGCCAGGATGTGACATAACCCCAGCCTGTAAAAATATTTTAAATGAAATGGGTCGGTTCATGGCAGGTCGCGATTAGCTCTTGCTGTTTCACTAAATTTAAAAGGTTAAGAAATTATTAAAGACTCACCAGCAGTGATAGCTTTTTGCTTTAAAAATAATTTATCATCATTATCATTTGGGAGACATATTGGCTGAATTATTGGACTGAATCTAATAGTTCGATCAACAATAATCATGGCCAAATCAAATGTGATGTAATATCTTCCTCTAACATGTGATGGATGCTTTATTATATCAATTGGGGTATAAATTAGATCTTCTGGTGGTTCAGTGTTGACGTGAATTCCAGTAAGAATTCGAAGATCATCCTTTTCAGTACAATGAGCTGTCGCAATTGCAGTGATTTTCAAAAATTAAATTAAATTATTTTAATTAATTTACCAGCAGTTAATATTGTTCTGTCAGAAATAATTGTTCCACCACATAAAGGTTTATCAAGATCATCAATACGATATTGAATTGATACCATCCATGGATATTTGTGAGGATGTGGTTCAGTTCCATTTATGATCCTAGAATTAATGTCTCGGTCTAAACTATCATAATTTATCTGTCCACAAACTGTAATGTTAATTAGGGAATTTGTAATGAGCGTTATCAGGTTTAGAGGATTTATTCCCATAAACTCACCACAATTGTTAAGTATCTCACAAAATCCTAAAGAATTAAAATGTAAAATCAGGCAAATCAAAACTAAGTACTTCATTGCAGAAAGTTAAAAATGATGTGATGAATTGAAATTCAAATTATAAAATCATACTTAATTGATTGGATTTGATTGCCGTTCAAAAAACATTGTGTTCAGAGCTCGAAGTCAGTGAAATTTTGAATCTGAAACTCAGCCATACAAAATCAATGAAAATCTTGAGTCGACTTTGAGCTCTGATCGTGTTTGATCAAGTAATAAGGCACATTTTTGCCTTAGCGATTAATATTTTGTTTTTAAATTAAATAACATTTGCAGCAAAAATATTTTGAGAAGGTAAGTTTTGAAGTTTTCATAAAAAAAAATTTTACTTCAAGTATCAAATCCATCGATCTACGCCCATGTAGCTATAGAAGGTGCATTTCAATAATAAAACAATCCTTTTTATTTTTAAATACCTTTTTTTATTGCAATTTCATATCTGGACTCATACAAACATTTCCTTGAGCTATATCTAAATTATACTCAATCCATTTTAGAGTTTCTACATTTGGAACTCTTGCATATAATTCTGGAACATCTGATACACATCCTTTGCCATATGAAGCCACACTTTAAAATAATTTTAGTTTGAAAAAACTTAGGAAAAAGTTATCAGTCTTACTTACCCTAAAATGATGTGATGATTCCCACCTTTGTTAGCAAAAAGTGGCCCACCTAGTCGAAAAATATATAAAAATTCAAAACTCTTGTTATTTAAAAGTTAAGAATGATGGAGAATTCACCTGCTTCACCCTAAAAAGACATGAAATATTAGATTTTTATTAATCAAGCTAATTCAATCAAAACAAACCTTACAAACTACTTTAGTCTCTTTTTTGGCACACATCATAGCATCGCTATTATAAAAATCAACAGTTGATGTCCATTGAATGCTACAAGTGTCTTTGTCCAAGACACGAACTTTTGATTTCAAAGGTACGATTACATCATTGTAATCTTCACTTTCTACAAAACCTGTAACAATTAAAAAGGATATTTTAATTAATCATCCTTAAAATATGTTCATTTACAAACATTAATGGTGCTTTAAAATCGCTAAAGCGCACCTATGTTAAGGATGTGTGTTTCTTTCAACTAACCTACAGAAAAAGCTTCACGATTCCAAAAAAGTTCATCATCATTAGGATTTGGGAGACATATAGGCTGAGTTTTAGGAGTAAACACAATTGGTCGATCAACAACAATCAATGCCAAGTCATAAACATCATACAATCACCGAGTCGCAAGCCCCGCGCGCGAAGTAAACAAATAAATATCTCGTGAGTTAATTAATTGATTTCACCGTCCTAAAAGGACTTTTGTGTAACAAAAACATATTTAAAACATTCACAAGTACTCAATATATTAAAAATATTAAGCAGTGTACAGTTAAACAGTGTATAATTAGTAACAAAACTTTAACTTCAAAAATAACAAAAACAAAAACATTACTAGTGCGCGTACCCGGCACAGCCGGTGGCGTTAAAATGACTCAGGGACGAAAAGCTGCAAAAAGAAAAAATGGAACTCCATCAGCAGTCAAACAAGCCATTGTTAAACAAATTAAAACAAACGAAATGACTCAACAATCAAACAAAGCACAAAGTACAGGAAACTTGACATATGACAACAGCAAGAAGCTCTCGAATGAAATTGAAGGAGAGAAGTACTTAATTGTGCACAGAACTGACGATGGACTAACAATGAAGGACATGTCACCAATTTTGCTTGAATCGGCATTCAAAACAGTCACAAACAATGGAAACATTACATGCAGAACACTAAAAAGTGGTGACATACTAATTAAAACTGAAAACGTCAAACAAGCTAAAAACTTAGTCACACTGACAAGAATCACACACGTAAATGTCGAAATTACTGAACATAGATCGTTGAATACATGCAGAGGAGTTGTAAGTGCTTATGAACTAAAGTATGAAGATGAAGACATCCTTCTTGAGTACCTGAAATCGCAACATGTAACAAAAATCGATTTTCATATGAAGAATGTAGGCAACGAGCGAGTCAAATCAGGCCTTGCTTTTGTTACTTTTGGGATAAATGAGCCACCAGAGTATCTAACAATCGGATGTCTAAGATTGAAAGTGCGCCCATACATACCAGCACCAATGAGATGCTTTGTATGCCACAAATTTGGACACATGTCCAAAACATGCCCAAGTCAAAGCACCCCAAAGTGCTATAACTGCTACGAAGACAAACATATTCACACCAGAGACGAAAAGTGCACAAGACAACAAAAATGCATCAATTGTGGATCAAATGATCACAACAGCTACAACAGATCATGTACAGAACTTAAAAGACAAGTAACAATACAAACTATTAAGGTTAAACAAAAAGTGTCATTTTCTGAGGCAGTCAAACAATCAAATTTGCAACGAAACACGTACGCACAAGTAACATCAAACAACAACACAGCACAAAACATAACTCCATCGAGCACAGCACAGTGTAAATGTCCACACTGCGGTTTTCACAGAACAAGTAACGAGCAACAAAGACAAACTATAAATTACGGAGACTTGAATGAAAATGATGAGGAAACAAAGCAGTCTGAAGGTGAATCATCATCAACGGCGTTGGATACGGGGTGTATAGCGGACAAAGAACCCCCAGATCATAATGATTAATACACCAACAATCATCAATTGGAACATTCGAGGGCTCAATGCAAACCGCAATGAACTTGAGGTATTATGTAATGAATTTCAACCAACTTTTATTTCTTTACAAGAGACGAAAACCAGAACAGACGTAACATTCAAGAACTATAAAGTATACAGTAAAATAAAAGACTGTAACAGCACGAACATAGCTAGTGGAGGAGTGATGATACTCGCAGACAAAAACATTCACACTGAATTAGTAGACATAGACACGACTTTACAAGCAATTGCTATTCAGACAACATACCCAATGAACTTTGTATTTTGCAATGTTTATTTAGATCACGGACTTAGAATAACAGAAATACAGGACAAACTAGACAACTTAATAAGACAATTAGGACATAATTTCATACTGACTGGAGACTTCAATGCACACAACGCAATCTGGGGATCACATAAAACCGATGGAAGAGGAAGGACTATTGAGGAACTCATTGACGAACACTCTTTGATAATTAAGAACGAAAACCAACCGACACACTTAGCGAGCAGTAACAACAGACTAACAGCAATTGACGTAACACTATGTACACAAGGACTTTCAGACGAATTTGACTGGACTGTGTTAGACGATCTTTCTGGCAGTGATCATTTTCCGATCCTGTTATCTTTCACACAATACGCACAAAATATGACACGACGAGAAAAATATAACACTAACACTGCTGACTGGACAAAGTACAGACAAAATATAAACTTTCAAGACCTAGACAGAACAAATATAGACTCACTAACCAAAGACATTACAAAACGTATACTTGGCGCTGCAAAAATCTCAATGACTGTATCTAAAGGCTTTACAGGCAAAAGAAAACTTCCATACTGGAACGACGACATTAAGACAAAAATTATCGAAAGGAAGAAAGCCATTCGAGAATTTAAAAGGACGATAGACTCAGGCACAAAAGACAGAATTAACAGACTAACTACGGAAATACACGAGACCTTAGAAATGTACAAACGACAATCATGGACTCAGTTTACAAGTTCAATTAATTCCAAAGCGACGTCAAAAGAAGTTTTTGACAAAATACGGACATTAAACGGTAAGAAGAAAAGTACAGTAATTAAGACATTAATTGATGACAACGGAAATCAAGTACATGACCAAACCTTAATAACTAACATTATAAAGCGTACTTTAGAAAAGACATACAAAGACAACACACATAGACAACGGGTAATACCTAACGACAATAACAACAACTCTTATAATGACACAATAACACTACTTGAACTTGAACAAGCACTTGCAAGCTGCAAAGGCTCCTCACCTGGACCAGACGAGATACATTACGAAATGATTAAACAATTAGACGTAAAAGGAAAAAAGACAGTACTCGAACTATACAATGAAATTTACGACAAAGGACAAGTACCAAAGACTTGGAAACATTCCTTGGTTATTCCAATTAAGAAACCTGGAAAAGACCCCCGACATTCATCACACTATAGACCAATCTCATTGACAAGTTGTTTAAGTAAAATACTAGAACGCATACTGAACAGAAGATTACAATGGACTTTAGAAAGTAGACATTTACTAAACGAATACCAGTCAGGATTTAGACGAAAAAGAGGAACAACAGACAACATAACATATTTGACGGATGAAATACAAAAAAGTTTTATTGAACAGAAACAGACAGTAGCGATATTTATTGACATCAAAAAAGCATACGACACTATCAAGACGGACGTTATTATTGACAGTTTACTTAAAATGGGTTTTAAGGGGAAATTAGTTAAATATATTCAAAATTTTTTATCGGACAGGACTTTTAATATTCAATTAGGAGGGGCAAAATCTGACAGAGGACACATGGAAAAGGGTATACCACAGGGTTCAGTTATCTCTTGCACACTATTTAATGTAGTGTTCAATGAGATACTGAACTGTATCGACGAACCAATTAAGTACTGCGCCTATGCTGATGACTTGGTGGTCTTTATGAAAGGAAAGACCACTAAAGAAATCGAAGCAAGTCTTCAGGTGACACTTGACAAAATAAAGACTGACATGAAACAAAAAGGACTAGAAATCTCTAACGACAAGACAAAATGTATGCTTTTCTCGACCAAACACAAAAAGAACCTTGTACTTCCTAAATTTACAGTAGACAGACAAACTCTGGAATGTGTGAAGAGATTCACTTTTCTCGGGGTTACTTTCGACATGAAACTTAATTGGACGGAACATATTGACAATACCACATCAAAGACGAAACAAAACATGAAAGTAATAAAAATGCTTTCAAACACTACATACGGATCTGACAGAAAAACATTGCTAAAATTACATGACGCACTTATTACTTCCATAAATACTTATGGAGCAATAGCATTGAATAACATGACCAAAGAACAAGACAAAAAACTCAACACGGTACACATAAAATGTCTAAAGTACGCAATTGGTGCTTTCATAACATCACCAAATAAAAGTGTGGAGGTTGAAGCAGGAGTGATCCCTATGAAGCACCAAAGACAGTTACAACGAGCTAAATATGCCTGTAAAGTCCTGACAAACACTAAACATCCATTATACGAAAACTTAAAAGACAACAGCAAAGATCACAAATACTCACAACGAACGAAACCTCCAATAACTTACTCAATGAGACAAGATCTACGGAATTTGAATATAGATAATGACACAAAGATTAATAAGACACAGTTAACACATCTTCCACCTTGGACAAGAACCAAGCACAAGTATGACATATCACTAACAAGATTTGACAAGAATAACACACCAGACGAAGTATTCAAAGTAGAGTTTAACAAAAAAATCAACAAACTTAAACAAGACATGTACGAACCTTACTACACGGACGGATCAAAAACTGACGATGGCTATGGATGTGCTGTGATTGAGGGAAGTAACGTATACAGATATAAGTGCCATTCGTACAGCTCTGTGTACAGCACTGAACTATTCGCGATATCCAGAGCTATCAAAATTGCTGACAGGAAAAAAATGACCAAAGTTGCTTTATGTACAGACTCACTTAGTGCAGTATTAGGGATACAAGACAGACAGACAAAACATCCAATGATTATTGAAATTCAGGACCAACTAATGAAAACAGACACAACATTTAACTTTATGTGGATCCCCAGCCATGTCGGTATTATCGGAAACGAGAAAGCTGACATGGAAGCAAAGCAAGCAACCAAAGAACAAGTCTTCCATCAATACTTTATAACACATACAGACATTGACAGAAGCATTAAAGAACGTACTCGACATAAATGGCAACTAGACTGGAACGAAGAAATTGACAGACAAAATAAATTAGGAAGCTTGAAAAAGACCATTGACAGATGGAAGACTATAGACTTTCTTAACAGAAAAGACCAAACTGTAATAACAAGACTAAGGATAGGACATACAAGATTGACTCATGGACATTTAATTGAACGTACGAACACTCCGACCTGCAGATGTGCGGAACCACTAACGGTGAAGCACATCCTCAGCTGCAGCCTTGACAAACAACAACAAGACAAATACAAAATCGACTTTGACACTCTTAAAAATGACAATAAAGAAAAGCTAATCTCAGTCGTGAATTATTTAAAAGAATTAGACATATACGAAAAGATTTAATCCACACTAGCTATGTTTCAACTGAAAAGAAATAATTGTAAAATTTATGTAAATATTGAAAAATTTATCTTAAAGGTTTTTATGCAGTTTGAAATAGTTTAAGTACTTTTTCAGACGGCTTTTCCTTTTAAAAAGATAAATATATGGAAAAGTAAAGGTCCTTTAATTTAAATACGGACCATAATAAATATAATAATAATAATAATAACATCATACAATCCAGTGTATACAAATGAATGATGTGGAATTATATCTTTTACTTTGTAGATTTCTTCATATACGAGTGGATTAGGTTGAATGTGATGAACTCCAGTAAGGACTCGAAAATATCTTGTTTCAATATTGATGTTGACACAATGAGCTGTAGATTGTCACATTTTGGATGATTTTAATTTATTTATTAAAAAACAATATTTTACCAGCAGTTAAAACGATCTTGTCAGAAATAATTGTTCCACCACAAACTTGATTCCAGGTTTCATAAAATAATGCTTGAATGAATATCAGCCATGGAAATTCATGAGGACTTGATTCAGTTGCATTTATGTACTGAGATATGTCATGACTATGTAAATTATCATTATTTGCCTGTCCACAAACTAAAGTAAAGTTAAAGCAATTTGAATGAGGGAATTCAAACCTCAAAAAATTTATCTCACCACAATCATTAAGCACAGCAGAAAATCCAAGAGAGCTAAAAAGTAAAATCAGAAAAATCAGAACTAAGTGCTTCATTGCAGAAAATTTGAAAGGATATGATTTAATAAATTTCAAATTTCGTAAAATCATACTTAATTAATTGGATATGCTTGGATTACTTGTCGTTAAGACTTTAATAAGAACATTAAAAATTATTCAAGTATATACGCGCTCACGAGCAGCTAGGCTTTATGATTCCAAAATATTGCAGTGATTTTTCTAAAGATTTGAGATTTAATTCTAAATTAATTTAAGCAACATCATCCAAGGACAAATGTGAGGGAGCGATTCAGTTCCATTAATAATTTTAGATTTAATGTTTCTGTCGCAAGATTGAATGTTTCGGTTGAGTGTTTCAGTCACAAGCTGGATGGATTAAATTGGAGACCTTTTTAATGGAAGTGGAAACATCCACAGCCACCAACCTTAAAAAACTCACCACAAACATTTAGGAACTTTAAAAAACCACACAAACTTAGGTAACCTCACAACAAGGTAATGAATAGCAGAAAATTTGGAATCATTTCATTCAAAAATACTAATATTTTGCAAAATTATAGATAATTGATTGGATATGTTTGGACTGCCTTAAAACTTTATTAAACAAAAACAAAATTGATGATAAAATTATTAAAAACTCTAAATTTAATAATTAAATTCATTGACTTTATTAAATTCATGAGAAAAATGCTTTGGATTTCTACACTCATTTGCTTTAGCCAGATCTGTAATGCTTTCTATCCATAAAAGAGTGTTTGATTCTGAAACTTTTGCATATACACCAGGAAAATCTCTAGCACATCCTTCTCCAAATGACACAACACTGAATTGAATTTTAGAAATAAGCTTATTTTAAATATTAAAAAATAAATTTTTTCTTACCCTAGAATTACATAATGGTTTGGAGATTTTTCCACGAAAAGCGGACCACCTGTTTGAGATAATAATTTTAGCAATTTTAAATATTTTTAAAATCTCAAGAACAACTTACCAGAATCTCCCTGAAAATATTTCAACTTTATAAATTTAAATCCCATAATGATTAATCAAAAACAACAAACCTGACACGAATCCCTATAAATTTCGTGAGCGCATATCATAGCATCATAAGTGTAAGCACCTAAGTCTGTCATGTTTCTACATTCCTCATCAGATTTTAAGACAACTTGTGTTTCCATCAATATATCACTCAAAGGTCCTTTTTCTTCAATTCGTCCCCAACCAGCGACAATAGCTTTTCGATTCCAATATAATTTATCATCATCAGCATGTGGTTGGCAAATTGGACTTATTTTTGGACCAAAAGGGATTTTTGTTTCAAGAATAAATATGGACATGTCATAAATATCAAAGAGCATGGTCCTATGGTAAAGTGGATGGAAATAGATGTGATCATTTCCGTACGACAACTCTTCATCGTTTAATGCTTTCTCAATGCTATGGACTCCGACAATCCAACGAGTTCGAAGTGGGTCAAAGATCGCATAGACGCAATGTCCTGTTAATGGATTAGTCATTGAATTTTAAAGAAATATTTTTTAAAGTTTACCAGCACTTAGAATCGTTTTGTCAGTAATGATACTCCCACCACAAATGCCTGACCATGGATGTGACAAAAATGCCATCCAAGGATAACGGTGAGGCCTAACTTCAGTTCCGTTGACTATTTTTTCACTTTTGATATTTGGTGGACGATAATATGCATCCTGTCCACAAACTTTAAGATTTAAGATTTATTTTAAAAGATACTAATTTAGTAAGTATGTTACCTACCGCAATCATCAAGAACTTTTGAGTATCCGAATAAAATTGAATTTAAAAGTACCAAAGTAAAATGTGTAAGCTTCATTCCAGATTTGTGTTTACAACTTATAAACATAAAGCTTAACTTAGTGAAACTTAATTGATTTAAAGCACTTGAATGGCTTGTCACAATAATTGCTTGATTGATGGAATTACTTGGGGGTCGTTCACTTATAACGTCCGAAATTAACGGTCATTTTTCAAAAAAGATTTCCAGGAATTTCTGTTGTTCTTTTCTTGCTGACCCCCCCCCTCCCATGGACGTCATAAGTAAACTTGGTTGAGTTTTGATGGTAATCTTAAGCTATGGGATATAGTGGGGTTCTGAAAATGATTTTTTTAATGAACAATGCTTCATTTCATTTCATTTCCTTTTTTTTATTAATCAAGAATAAAATCGACATCGAGAAATTCAAACTATTTGACCAAAGTCTCTGCAACGCGCTTCATAAATGAAAATTCCGGATTTCTGCAAACATTTGAGTTAGTTGATGCTATCTTTTGATTAATCCATTTGATAGTCACAGGCTCTGATACTTTTGCATAAATTCCCGGAAAATCACGAGCACATCCGTCACCAAATGAAACCACGCTAGAAGGAAACATCAAGAATTGATCAAAATAATTCAGAGCAGATTGTAAAATGTTATGCTCCATACCCTAATATAACGTAATGATCGTTAGATTTTGCAGCGAAAATTGGACCACCTAAGATAAGATGAATTAATGCACGAAAGATTCAACAAAATAAGTCAAAAAGTATTCAAAATATTACCAGAATCCCCCTAAAAATGAAAGGGATCTAAATTAGAAATAGTTTAATTAGGGGTTGTTCATAAATGATGTCTAACCATTGAAGAAACATTTCTAAACGAAAGTGAGGGAGGGAAGTCAAAAAATCACATTATTTGACAAACATCATTTATGAACGACCCTTTTAAAAAAAATAATAAACACTACGAACCTGACAAGCATCCGTATGTTGTTCATGAGCACATATCATAGATCTTTCATCATAATTTATTGAATATATCAAATTTTTGCATTCTCTATGAGTCTTTAAATAAACACTTGATTCCATAAGGACGTCAGTTTGAGCTCCGTTTTCTTCAACTCTTCCCCAACCTTAAAATATTCAGTTATTACATTTATGACAAACTTAGAAATATTATTGTAGCTAGGCACCTGCAATGACAACTTTTTGATTCCAAAATAATTTTTCATCACCAACTTTTGGCATGCAAATCGGTATAGCAGCAGAAGTGAATGTCATTCTTCTATTTGTGATAACTAAAGCCATGTCAAAATTATCAAATAAATTTCCAGCTTTCCATAATGGATGCAAATCATAATCTTTAGTGTCATATGATTGCTGTCTTGCATTAACAGCTTCTTTAACGCTGTGACTGCCAATGATCCATCGTGATTTTAGAGGAGATGGAATGTAGTACATGCAGTGTCCTATGGACATTATAATAAATATATACGTAGGTCAGTGTTGTTCAAACTTTTTTGAGCCACAACAGACCTTAGGGGTAAGCCATTACCAAAGTCGCACACCAGTGTGTCGTGGCACACAGTTTGCACAACACTGATGAAGGTAATAAAAAATAGACTCAATTAGATTTACCAGCAGTCAAAATCAGCATATCAGAAATAATTGATCCACCACAAACGTGATGATAGCTTTTCATCATAACTGCCATCCATGGGTATTTATGAGGTCTCACTTCAGATCCATTAACTATCTTTTTACCAGATGTATGTAGAATTATAAGACCTTTGTCATTTTCCTCGCCGCACACTAGAAGTTTTTAAGGTTGAATAAAGAAATTTTTACATTCACAAAAACTCACCGCAATCAAGGACTTTTGAATATCCTGAACAAGCTGAAATTAAAAGTAAAAAAGTTATAAGTAAGAACCTCATCGCTAAGAAATTGACTTCAATTAATTGATTAAACAAAATTATAATAAAATTGTAAATTTCTATGATTTGTAACACATGAACGGCTTGTCATTTTAATTGAGTACAGAAGTGGTTCAAAAAATTTGTTGAATTTAAATGATTTTATTTTATTGCTGATCAAAAGCTTTCGGAATGGCTCAAAGATTAAAAAATTGTTTTAAAGGTTTCAAAAACCAGAATTGAGGATAACCAAGTCACACCTACTATACTCTCAAAGAAAATAAATAAAGAAATTTAAGTTTTACACATAAATGACTTGCTAAACTTTCATTAAGTCAACAACGGAAAAAAACAATAAATTTTCGATTAATTAAAAGTAAACAAGAATGAACTTTTAACCTTTATAGGAATATTCATCGATTAATTGCTATTTTTAATCCAAACATTTCTCTTTTTTCCAATAAAATTTTTGAGACTGCATTTGAATGTCATGTGCTTCCTACTTATTCCCGACATTTTAAAATAAATAATTTTCGGTCAGTCTTGCAGTTTAAATTAATAATTTTTAAACTTGAATATAACAAAAAATTCTTAGTATTTTGAGTGTCTAATCTGCCATTTGACATTAAATCTTATTTTGAAATAGTTCAATGTGTATTTAAAAAAAAAAAATATTTAAATTGAAGATTCGTGTAGATGAAGTTCTCAGTATCATTTTAACACTGAAGCAGAACAGAACAATTAAAATATGGAAGAATTATCTTGGGACGCAAGAAGTAAGTTCATTTAGTTACGTTTCTTCTTCAGTCACGAGGCTCAATTTAAATCTAATCATAACTTTTATCCTCCACAGAATCAATAGTATCATCATGGTCACTAATCGGATCCTACAATACCATCACATCAATCAGCTTAGTTTATCTCTGGCTGGTCTATCATTTTCTGCCAAATTTCATGAGCAACCGAAAACCCTACAAATTAACATTTATCATTCGATGCTATAACATCGCTCAAACAGCAGCCTGTTTATATTTTCTTTGGCGAGCTCATTCTGTTGGATTTAGCTTTAGAAATACATGGAAGTGTATAGGCACTGATGGACCATTGACAAAGGAACTGATGGAATTGAATTTTATACAATATAATTTTATAGTTTTGAGAATAATCGAGTATATTGAGACAATTTTCTTCTGTTTAAGGAAGAAATTTGAACAAGCTTCATTTCTTCATGTCTATCATCACATCAGTACTGTATTTATACTCATATTGTTCTTAAGGCTTAGTGGTGGAATGATGGAAACTTTCTTTGGTATGATAAATATGGTCGTTCACTTCATCATGTATGGATACTACTTTTTAAGTTCCTTCAATCAATTCAGGAAATTTACAAACATCATTAAGCCATTCTTAACAATCATTCAAATAACACAGCTGACAATAATTCTTGGTCATTGTATAGCAGCTGTTCTTCCTGGCTGTAGCACTATTCATTGGCTTTTTTATTTGGCTATTTTTAATGTAATTATGTTGCTGTCACTGTTTGGACATTTCTATGTTAAGAGCTTTATTAAAAGGAAAAATAATTAATTTATAATGTAAAATAAATTTGCGGTGTCATTACCTTAACGATCTTAGACTTCAGCATTAGTCTTCACTGATTAACGTTTATATAAAATAAGTGACTCCTTTTGTTGCATGAACTATTCAATGTTCAAGGTGGAGGAGGGGTTTGAAATATTTTCTGTTCTAAAACAATGACTGATTTTTGAGGAGGGGGGGGGGGGGGGGGGGGGGTTGGATTCTGAATTTAATGTTAAAATGATCGAATTGATCAAAATGTAATTAATCATTTCCGTACCCTTGATCAGACCTCCCTCCATGATTTGTATGTCCTCAAATTTCGGTCGTCATAATTGAATTAATTTTACAAATAAAAAGGAACTAAAGTATTTAATATTCTTAATTAATATTCTGACATTTTGCCTTGACATTGTCTTCTTATTCTTTAGTGTGCTTTCATTGACGTAAGTTGTGTTTACACTCCAAATTGTTGGTAGCTGTACAAAAAAATTTTAAAAAAAGTTCACATTCATTCAATAAAAACTGCATCCATAGACAACGGAATAAACTGAAATACTCCGAAAATTCCCGCTAAGTCAAAAGCCCCTCGAAATTATTGATTTTCCAATCAGAAATTCCGGTTGGTGAAATAATTTTCATCTCAGTTCGTTCTAAAGTTTTAACTAGTTAAGTGCTTGTAAGTTGTGCAACTTCAGTCAATTACGACTGACAACAATCACAGTTTGTGGATTTCTTTTGCAAATCCATTGAATAACATTTAATACAATTGGTATGAAATATTTAAAATTTATTTTCAATATCAAATGGCATTGACCTTGATTGTTTCGTCGCATTTCTTCGCAAAAAGTTTGAGAAGCTGTGGGGCGATTACATAAAAATAAATTTTTGGGTTTACTGGGCTTAGAATTGCTTTGCCGGTGTTTTTGTTGTGTTTGTGAATGTTATAAGAAGTTTTGAAGTTTCAAGAGTCAATTTGGACAGAAAATTAGTCAAAAAATTAATTGTTGTTGTCTGTAAGTTTGACAATGTAATGATTTTTTTTTTTTCTCAAATGGATGTCTGCATTTTGTTATTGTTTTAAAAGAAGAAGTGAGCCAACAGGGAATTTAGGTTAAATTTTGCTAACCTCTTCCTTTTAAGCCAAAAACTTAAAATCATTTAAAATTACAAAACCATTTCCATTGATAAGAATATCCAATTTCCCATGACGTCAGCAACAGAAGGCCAACTCTTGTTCCCATTTTGTACTCAAATTGTGCATCTTTTCCCACATTACATTATGCATAAATCCAATAATCTAACACGCAAGCTAGAACTCGAAATAAAAAAAGAATATATTTGCCTAATGGAGCTTCGTGTGATGGATAAAATCCAACCCTTATCGCAATGACATTTCGTTTTTTTTTGTTCAAACAATTACAGTAATTACAATGTAAACAGCAAGAATAAAAGTTCAATTATAAATATTTTCGATTCTGTTTGCAAATATTATTCAAATTATATGCATTTATTCTGAATATTAATATTTAATTCCAACAAAATCTTGATAGGGCACTTGCTTGACTTTTTAACCAGAGAACTTTATTGTGACTTTATTTTTCTTGTGCTAATGTGAATGTAGGCGATCTTTGGCAAATGCGACCAGAATTGTTGTTTTCAAACTCTAAAATCTCAGAATTATTGGCATGCAATAAAAAAAAATCAATTTCCATTTAATCGATAAAACTTATTTGGAAGCAAAAAATAATGTATGCAGCAGTTCATGGTTCCAGAAAATACCAAAATAAACTACTCATATGGAACTAATCGTTATAACTTCCGAAAAACATTTTGTATATTTGTGATTTATAAAAAGGTGAGGGATTAACCGAAAATGTAGGTTGGTCGACCGTGGACCAGTGTTTACTAGATTAAAACGATGGTGGGGGCTAAACTAATTCCTACAGAACTGCTGAAAGTATCTTTATTCAAATCTCTTTAAAGATCATTTCGATAAAAAAAGAAAATTTTTAAACATCACTTAAAATTGACCCAATAATTCAACAAAAGAGAAAAGAGAAATACAAAAAAAGTTGGCTGGGGTCAAGACTCATTCATTCATAAGTATAACAGATGTCTAGACTCTACCGAATTACTCATAAAATTGATAACAGCATCACCGCGTGTAGAACATGCGACATTTGAATCGTAAAAAAAATTCGAAAAATTTCTAAAGATTTCCGATCGCAAATGTCAACAAAATAAAAATCCAAAATGTTCTGGTTCACAGGCTCACCTCAGTGACATTAAATTATCTTGTCAATGGAATAAAACATTAGTATGGAGAGTGTTATTACGTGTTGCACAGATAACATTTTTAATAATGAATATAGACCCGTGAAGATAAGAGAGGAATAGCATACGTAAACTTTGATTCGGCGAGTGGTTCCACAGTACAAAGTACAATCAATTTATGAGCTCACCAGGGTTATCGAGTGAACATTTCTTCATTTTCAATCAATTCGTTTTGAGCCGAAACCTCTGCAAAACTTTTTTTTCTAATTTTAAAAAACCCGAAAAGCGTGCGAAGTGCTCCTCATCGTGATAATGACACATTCAAGCTGCTTCTTGGCAAAAAATAAAATATTTCATAAAAGAATTTCATTTATTATATTTTATGTGTGTGCTACTCAGTAGTGCGGCTGATTTCATCAAGGAACAATCTGTTAATGTAGAATATTTTGCAGGCATTTGCATGTCTGACATTTTTGTTTTGTGAGACTGTTAATTGAATACAATTGCAAATTGCTTTCATGATACTCAATGCGTGATTTTGCGAGTTTGTAAATAAAGACTAATGTAAATATTTGTGGACTCAGGCATTGTTTCAAGTGGCGTCTTACAGCTTTCATGTAAATTTTTCATGTGAAACTTTTTCAATTTTTCTTTCAGATATCAATTAAATCTAGTGGAAAATAACTTATTGAGAATATTATGGAAGGCGCTTTAGGAAATAATAATGTGATTGAAGAATTGACATGGGAAAGTCGAAGTAAGTATTATGTGATCGATAGTTTTATTTTTAAACTTTTTAAAGCTAGTGAAAAATTCATGGAAATTGTCAAAAAAAAAAATCATTGATTTATCATGTCTAGAGATAATCTGCTTACCGGTTTCGAGTGACATTATTGTGTATAATTAGAAAAGTATGAGAATATTTGACATTAAACTTCCTCTCCAACATCCACACGACAGATAAAAAAATAAATGTCAAATAAGATTTAATGCTTCAATTTTGACATTTTTTAAAGATCCCTAACTCATAACATCCAATCACCCCATATCTATTTTCAAATTCACACCATTTTTCTATACACGTAAAAAAGTAAATATTTACACATTCTGATACCAAATCGCATACTTACTACCAAATACCCAAAAGAGTTTCCATTGTGATAAATTGAGTGTTTGCCGGTCGCACATCCAACATGATCGTGTGTGCTAATCTTGAACATTTTCTCAATTAAAATGAGATCAGAAGAGACGTGACGTCTCTGATTTTATTTATTTATTTATTTTTTCTCTTAAAAATCATCTTTTTTTTCTCGGTATGTATGTACATCACGTTCTTTTGCACCGAGTATATTGAGTCATACAATCGCGTATTATGTAGTCAATTGAGTAAAACATGTGATGATTTTAAAGAGAAACATGTGAGGAAGTTGTGTGTTTATTTGAATGGAAAGAAGAAGTGAGCGATAAAAGGAATTTGTCTGTTTGTAAAGTTTGGGATGTTCATGTCGTAATATGCTAATTACTGTTTTATCTTGGTCTTTTGCATGATCTTGAATGATTCAAGGCTTTTAAGATTTTATTAGAGATGCTGGGGAAGTATAAGTTCCATAGCTCTCATGATTTGATATTAGGAACGGGTTTGGTTGATAAAAGAGGCGTAGCTTCTATTTATAATTTGACTTTAAAACTGAACAGATCTTATAAGATCGAATATTTAGCAGGAAAAAGTAAACTATCCAATAACTTGACCTGATTAGGAATTGAACCTGCATTTTTCCAATTTCTAATGGCATTCTCTTACCACTAAGCTAACAGGAGTTGATAAGATGCTTGATAGATTACCAAATTAATATATTTTTCTGCTCTGAACAGTATCTTTAGAGTTAAAGTCAATCCTCCTTGTCCTTGGTGAATTTCTTTAGCTCTTCATAATTCAACTTTATTGCATTTGCATTTATTGACGACATACTGTCCGGAAATAATTCACATTTTACACTTTTGTATTTGTATACATATAAATTAGTATTATGTAGGATCAAACTTCTAATCTTCATATCTAGGTTTCAAATAAACTAAGGCTCTCGTTTCGATCTTCTGTAGGCGTTACGTGATACTTTTCAGGTCCGTTCTATCAATATTCCATTCGTGGGTAATCTTGTAGCTCTCGTTCCTATTTCTCCCGCTACACTTCAAGTTTCTGACCCGTTCCTTAATCCAACGTTGCCCAAATGCCCAATTATGGCTTGATCTCGTACATTAAGCAGTCGAAGTATCTAAACTTCCGAAAAAGAACAAATTTGGAAATGGCTGGATTCGAACCGACGACCTTCGAGTTACCATCCCAAATTTGAGTCGAGCGCCTTACCTATTCGACCAGCAAGGCACTTAACTTAAGTTCAGATCTTCATGACAAGCTATTAAACCCTTACAAATCCCAAAATACCTCAGTTAAGGATCTAAAATCCTAGCTTTCATTGCTAAATCCTTCCATAGTTCAAATAACACAAGCTACCATATCTGCACAGCAACAGTTTATTTTTCTCATCAATCCAAGTTTCAGCTAGTTTGAAAAAGCAAATTAATTCCCATTCTTATCATAATTAGCTCTGATTAAAAAAGTCTCGATTCATGGAATGACATTTTTTATCTTATCAGCACTTAATACTTTAAATTCATCAGCTGTTCTGGTCTAAAAGTGAATCGTGCATCGAATGTTTTCATTAAGATACCAG